TGTTCAAAAAATTCTCTAATTAACTACATGTTTAGGAATAGAATTACTAGTTTTTGTTTTTTAAATACATTATATATGCGGTCAATACTTCATGAAATGAAATCACATTTTAAAGAATTTTATTTGGTATTATTTTTTAACATATGGTCATAAATGATCCATTAGGCTTTACTTCTTTAAAATACTTATATGTTTCACTTAATAACACGAATGAATTGATGCAACTATATATAATCTTTAGAAGTCCTGAGCATTTAATATAACAGTAAATCAATTCGATTGTTTTTCATCGTCTATGTCTTTAAACATTTCATCAACCGAAGCACCTAAATACAACTTTAATGTTCGCCTTGTAGCAGGAAGTATTTTACATTTCACTAACGTTTCTTTGTTTCCTTCTGAACCTATCCTATCGTACGCTTGAAACCTATGACAACCACCAAATGCAAAATAGTACGATTTACCTTCTTCTCTAACTTTAAAAACATCTACGGCAGGCAATTCTCCTGCATCCATGTCTTCAATGTTACAAGTCGCAGAGGCCATAGGAGTGCCTTGAAGGGTTGATACCATCGCATCTATCTTTTGATGATCTAAAACCGGAGGAATTGGCCTTCTTATTTCATTTAATGGGATATAATCAATTTTTAAATTTGATGACTGTAATGACATTTTATATTTTATTATAGCATATAATAATTTTTCTAGTGTTTTGACCTTTACTTTATATACTTGCTGCAATCTCGAACTTTAATAAGCGAGCAGCTTCTGGACTGCGATTACTAAATGGAAAAAGTCCAAGACTTTCAACCATCGTTTAAACGTTGCTATATTAATAACAAATCAAATATTTGATAGTCTAATTCGATTAGATGGTTTTGGAACCTTCCTAGACTTTGAAATGTTCGGACTATTGATTATAAACGTCTTGAATTCTTCGTATTAGTTACACGAGACTTGTATCACAAAACGGGAAACAGGCTTCATATGAGATGCTGCAATTAACGCTCTCTAATGACTCTGATTGCATATTTAGACTTCAAAATCAAAGACTCGACGATTTAAATGATGATAATCAAATTCGCAGCTACCTTTACATTAGACTTTATAATTACTAAGCTAGCCACAACACTAGTTCAGCTTAATGGCATAAAAGTCGTGCACAAATACCGAATTTTACAGAACATTAATACATGTAAACCTACTAAAAGTCATTTACACAAAATATACCAATTACGATATAGGAATGTCGAATGAGTATTGCATGACGTGTACAGTATGAAGAAATGTATAATACAAGATGATAATATAAAACAAAAATTTCCGGTAATACCGAAGCGCGCATTTAAAGTTATCTTTAAGATCAAGAAATTATCTGATGAAATCTGTTTAAGGATTCCGACCTCGGTGATGCTAAAAGATAAAAGCGATGAACTTGATAACATTACTAAATATATTCAAAATTAGACTTCTCTTTGAACACTAACACACTATATAAGACCACGGGGTATTAATTGGATACGTCTAACAAGAAGGGGTATTCGTATCGTATTATAGTTACTCAGGTCAGGTCGTTTGAATCAAGTCGGATCTAGTGAAATTCCGGTTTTTTTTTCTTCGAAAACATATTGGAGCCATACAATTTTACCTTGTAAATTTATAAATATACGATCCCGTAGAGATAAATAGTATTCGAAGTACGAATCAAAATTACTAATTTATTGTATTTATTGCAATTACAAGAACATATTTACTATCAGGTATTTCCGTTTATTTTATTCATTATATGAAGCAAGTTTGATCTGAAAAGTATAGTTAGTGATTGTGTTCCAAAGACTGTGTTTCATACCATGTACTATAAATGGGCATATATATCGTTTTTCATAGCCATATTATTGACGCCGTTTTTAATACCCATCAATAGTGCTTTGGCTTTGAAGTATAGAAGAATAAAGGTTGTGCTAAGTATATGTTTGTTGATATCGGTATTAATCAGTGTAACGCCAGAGAAGGCAGTTGAGGGAGGACCAGTCCAAACATTTGGACAGTCAACAATAGCGCTTTTGGGATGCAGCTTTCAAATAATGAAATTGGGTTCATTCTGTGACCCAAGTTCGGGAGTTGATGCTCGTGAATGCTTTTGCGTCAATCCAAATGCCATGTCGACTATTTCATATTGTTATATGACGGCACACGAAGGACAAATAGACTCATTCTTGAAGGCTTGTGCAACACAATTTAATATTACGGTTACCAGAGAAACATTTGAGGAATCGTTCATCAATTATACGAAATACGCACGGTTTCCAGATCAGCTTGATCCTTCAGAGGTGGTTAATCATCCGATAAAATTGAATGATTCCATGATACTGACGTACAAACATGCATACGACCAGTTCCTAGGTAATTATGATAGATCTGTATATTATGGTGGCATTTTGCTTGGGTATTGGATTGTCGTCTTCTTGCTCGCAGCTATAGGAAATTGGTCAAAAATTTTATTCCCGAATACTGTCATGAAAATGACTGGCAAAATTTCTAATATATTTCGTCAAAAAATAAGTTTGCCAGCTACTGGAGGGAAAAGAAAAACAAGTGAGAAACCATTTCTTAGGATATTGGATATGTTGGTTCCTACCAGGGCTGAAACTTTAATATTAATAGGATTTTCAGTCTTAACTATCCACCTTTTACAAAGTAAAATTGAATATATTGACGGCGATCCAGTCTTCAGTAACAAAATTTCTGCTTTATTGCGTTATACTGCGGTAAGAGCCAGTATTATCAGCAGCGAAACCATACCTTTATTAATTCTATTTGGTGGTAGAAATAACTTTTTACAATGGTTGACAAGATGGGATTATTCCACGTTTATTACCTTTCACAGATGGTTGTCACGTATCATATTTTTCCTTGTCGTCATTCATGCCGTCTGTTATTCCCTTTACATGGGGGATTACTTTGAGACTATGCGCGAGACATACTTGATATGGGGGACTATTGCAACCGTTGCTGGGGGATTTATAATGATACAAGGCTTATTAGTATTGAGAAGAAGATGGTATGAGATGTTCTTAATAATACATATTGTTCTTGCAGCATTATTCATAGGAGCATCTTGGGTACACGTTAATGACCTCTACTGCCTCTGGTTCTATTATTATGCTACAGCATTATGGGTTTTCGACAGAGTAATAAGACTAGGGAGGTTACTCTCGTTTGGTTTTCCTAATGCCAAGGTTGTATTACTTGCAGATGAAACTTTGAAAATTATAGTTCCAACTCCAGAACAATGGGAGTCGGTCCCAGGGGGACATGCATTCATTCACTTCTTGACTCCTACTTGCTTTTGGCAATCACATCCATTTACCTATACTATTGCCGTTGATGATCCCAATAAAATAGTATTGTATATAAAAGTGAAGGAGGGTGTAACGCAACACATGTATAAGTATTTGTTGCAACATCCAGGCAAAAGTACTAATATTAGAGTTGCAATAGAAGGTTCGTATGGTGAATCCACTGCCGCTAGCAGATACGATACAGCTGTGTTTGTTGCTGGTGGTAATGGAATTCCTGGTATATACGCAGAGGTATTCGAATTAGCGGTTCGCGCTAATGATTTAAAACAGTCATTAAAACTAATATGGGTTATACGGGAATATAAATCTTTATTTTGGTTTTATGAAGAATTATTAGCATTGCAAGATACTAAGATTGAGACTACGATCTATGTTACAAAACCAGAATCACATATTTGTATAGAAGAATTCAATAACAGACTTTTGAACATTGATATGGATATATCAAATGACATGGGTCAAGGTAATGATACATTATTGGGGAATATGTCTAATAAGGAATACAAACAATGTGATATCGTCAAAAAAGTCAAAACAGAGTTAAGCCACATTAAATTTATAGATGGAAGGCCAATGATGGGCTTAATGGTTGCACAAAATATTCACGAAGCGAAAAAATCAGCTGCCTTCATAACATGTGGTCATCCAAATATGGTAGATGATATTAGAGCATCAGTTGTAAAGCACATTGATAATGAAGAAAATAAGAGGGTAGATTACTTTGAGCAATTGCAGGTTTGGGCCTGAATAAATTATAATTCTATTTCTAATTCATAATAACTTTTACAATAATGTATATCTCAAATAATAGGATAATTAATTTAATTTGCGATATGTTGATGATGGATATTATTCTATTCACGAAGTTAAGTTGAATAATTTTCATTTGTTGCTGCGATTATATGATTAATGTAGATAGATATCTACAATAGCCCAATCCTACTTCACATTTTGAGTCGATGCGATTTCAGGACAATGAGATGCGATTTCAGGACACTGAGATGCAAAATGTCCTTCTTTCGAACAGTTGTAACATATATACTTCTTATTTTCCTGTAATTCAATTTCTACATAATTGGTTTTCATTTCATCATGACCTGTCCTTTCATTTTGATCTGAATATTTAGGACATTCAACGTTCCTTTGTGTATCTAACTCAACTTTCTTGAATTGAGTATTTCCATTTCCAAGACTACCAACCTTTATTATATTCTCATATACTTGACTTATTTCGATGGCTTCAATCAATGTAAATGAATTTTCATGCTGCATCTCAATTCTGATTTTAGGCTTTAGGCCAGCAATGTAAAATATCACTTTTTGTTCTTCTGTAGAAAAATCTTCCGGTAATTTTTGTAGAAAAGACTTAAAATGACTACTATATTCCTTGACTCCATTTTCCTGCTTTAAATTTATAAGATTCTTGACTTGTTCTTTCATCATCGGCTCCCGCAAAATGATGTATAAAAACATGAGTGAATTGCTGGAAAGTTTCATTACTACATTTTGTAGAACGCCTATAATCATGAAACCATTCCTCGGCTCTTCCTGTCATGTTCCTACCACTTAAAATAATTAATTGTGTATCAGTTAGACTAAAACGTTCTGAAATACGAATTATTTCGCTGATAAAATATTTTATCCGGCTGGAATTTTTACTACCTGAGTAGGGACTAATTGTAGCATGCGTGAGAAATATAAAATAGCTTCTTTTCCTATAAGTTGTCTTGCCTCAGCTTTTTCTCTTAATTCATTTTCAATCTTCGTTAACTCACCTTCAACTTTCAAGTGGGCATCAAGTTCAGCCATATAGCCCGGGCTTCTGATTAACATCTTTGTTTCTTTCCAAGCCGATATCCTAATCTGTTCTTTGTTGAAGATCTAGTAATTGTAGGAACTAGGGAATATACAATCCAATGTATTGACTATATATGATGTTGTTATCTTGTAACAAGTCGATTTTATGTTACGTAACTTGTTTTATATTGTTGTTACTACTAACAGATTTCTAGTTTGTCTACCATTTTTCATGGTTCAAGAAGTAAACTACTATTTATACTCCAATAGATATGAGTTTTTGCAACAGTTTATTTCTTGGATATATATAGATCATTCATAAATAACATCAATCACACTTACTAGGTTGTATAGTGTAGTGGTTATCACTTTCGGTTTTGATCCGAACAACCCCGGTTCGAATCCGGGTACGACCTTTTATTATTTTTTATATCTTTTTTTTACATACATGCAATGATGTTAACTGGCTTGGTGGGATTCAGTAATAAGTTCTACTATAGCGTTCAGTTTCTTGTGATTGATAGTTGCTATATCTATAAACGTCTGAGACGTACTGTCGTTTCCCAATCTTTTTGAGATCATATTGGTGATGGATAGATCACGTGATTAAGCTTAAGATGAGCAGTGGAATTTTTTTTCTAATTAAGAATCTTAACTTAGAAGAAACAAGAATAAATGGTATCAAAGTTGGCCATAATGATTAGAACTATGTATGTATAAGAGAAGGTGATTGAAGGATATTTTGATAATAGGACAACAGATTACTAACAATAGAATAGTAAACCAAAGACTGCCCGTTCAAAGAGAGCCTTAGCCAAAAAGGAAGCTAAATTAGTAGAAAATACTAAGTCTGCTTTGTTTGTGCCAGGTTCTTCAGGTAATAAGTTTTTACACGATGCCATGTGTGACTTAATGGCGTTGAAGAAGCCAAATGTTAAAAAGTTCTCGAAGAAGAATGAAATCAGACCTTTTGAAGATGCCTCTGACTTAGAATTTTTCTCTGAAAAGAATGATAATTCGTTAATGGTTTTCTCATCAAACAACAAAAAGAGACCAAACACATTAACATTTGCTAGATTTTTCAACCATAAAGTGTTCGACATGATTGAATTGTCTATACAAAATAATTCCAAATTATTGCAAGATTTCAAGAAGTTAACTTTCACCATAGGATTAAAACCAATGTTCGTTTTTAATGGACCTGCATTTGACAGTCACCCAGTGTTTCAGCATATCAAGTCTTTATTTATGGACTTTTACAGAGGTGAAGAAACTGATTTACAAGATGTAGCTGGTTTACAACATATCATTGCGTTATCAACTGGTGAAATTGAAGATCCAAACTCAAGCTCCTTACCTTTGGTACATTTCCGTGTATACAAATTGAAGACTTATAAATCGGGACAGAAAGTTCCAAGAGTTGAAATTGATGAAATAGGTCCAAGATTCGACTTCAAGATTGGTAGAAGAATCACACCAGCACCAGAAGTCGAGAAGGAAGCATACGCTGTACCAAAACAATTACAACCTAAGCAAAAGAAGAACGTTAGTACTGATTTCATGGGTGATAAGGTTGCTCAAATCCATGTTGGTAAGCAAGATTTAGGTAGATTACAAACTAGAAAGATGAAGGGTTTGAAAGCTAAATACGATCAAGATGACTTTGATAATGAAGACGAAGACTTCCTTTCAGCTGAAGAGGAGCCTGAATCTAAGAGACAAAAAGTTTAATCTCAACCATTATTTTGAATAAAATTTGTACATTATAATAGAGTGATTACGTTAACATACCGTTAATTGCTTCAAATCAGTTAGCAGTGTATTTTCATATGCTTGCCAAAGATATAATCATCCAAATAGAATAATTTATATGGAATATATATGGAATAAATGAATATTTCTACGTACTAGACATCGATAATATTATGTAAAATAATAGTATTGTTTACATAATCAAAAATTTCATCGCATATTGAAAACTTGGTAAATGAAAACAAACTGATCTTTAAGAGCTTGCAATTAGCACATAATACTGTATAGAAAGCCTTCAATGTCTTTCACTCAGGGATCTATATTCAAGCCAAGGCAATCAAGTCGTTCCCCGGCTGCAGATAATGGCTCATCCGTATCTAATGAGCTGGCAGCAGGAAATAGTAAGTCTGTGTTTGAATTGACGAAGAATAAGAAGTATTGTGTTTCTCGGCTACCAGCCTTACCAGCAGTATTAGAATCAGACTCTTCAGAAAATTTATTAAATGGATATTCTGATAATGCATCCAATTATGCGCTTGTTATTAATGAGAAGGCAATTCATGTTTGGAATTATAATTCCACTGATCCAACTCCTTTGTCAATTCAGTTTCCATTAGATCCTAGTTCATATTCGTTATTGCCATTAGGTATACTAACTCGCCCTTCGAGCGGAACAAGCCAGGATCCGGGGTTAGTAATTATTGATTCTTCATCAGGATTAGTGAAATTTTACGAAAGTGTGCAACATGCACCAGCGTTGGGATTAATTAACAATAAGTTATTGGAGTTGACAATTCCATTAAATAGCAATAAAGGCGAGTATGTAACTTTAGCCGAAAATCTCGAGCCAGCAGGTATCGTGATTGCTACATCATGGAAAAGATGTGTGTTGATATCGTTAAGAGATTTTAAAAGTAAACCACAGTTATCATATATTGAACTCTTAGGGCCATCACACTCGGGCGGACTTCTTTCATCTATATTTAATGGGTTCAGTAAAAATGACGACCATAATGGGAATGTGAAAGATGAAATTGTGAGTATAAAATCAGGTAAAATCGCAAATCATGGCATGACACAAGAAATTATTATTCAAGACTCTGTTGGGGGATTTAACCTTTTTTCATATCAGTTATTTTCTGCAAATGCAATTCCATACATTGAAAAGAAGAAGACTTTGAAACAAAATTTAGGAGTGTATTTAGAAAACAGCATTGATGGCTTTCTTCCTGGTTCTAGCTTAAATACCAAATTTTTGGATTTATGGCCATTGGAATCACAAGAACTTCATGATATATACTTGGGCTTGTGCCTTATTGATGAAGCATATCGCGATAATGAAGGCAAGAACTTACTATTAGTAACCATGAAGGTTGATAAAACTGGTGTTCTATTTTATGGATCCCATAAATTAATTAGGTATGACCCTAATTTAACTATTTCTTCAAAGAATAAACCAAAATTATATGTTCCAAGTCTGGGTAAGACTGCATTTATTACGTTCGATAATTCGGTAATTCTAACAGATATCAATACATCATATATTGAGTCTAAGGGCACAGTTCAATATTATAAACCTAGATGGGAAGATATAGTGAAGTTAAAATCAAATGTACAAGTGATAGGGCAAGGATATGAAAACAAATCAACTAACACCAACCCAGCTGTTATTTTATTGACAAGTGATTCTGGTGTATTACGTATTGAGAGATTTCCAGAAGTGTCGGATAATGATATGGAAATAGATGATGAAGTAGATGAGGTTGACCCGATACATATTGTAAAGTCGCATATAGAACAAGCAATATTTTATTCAAAATCTTCAGCCATAGAGTTTGATATTAACGAGGAGTATTCAAGTGATATTGTTATCGAAGCTCTTAAGAAAGTTTTAGATGAAATTTTGGACTCTACATCCCCCTACTTACCTGTATTCTTACCCTCGATTAAGGATTTCTTATCCATGAAGTCGAAATTATATCACAGTTTGATACATTATACAAAAAGGAATTTCATGCCACTTTGGCGCGATATTGGTCCACAAATCACTGAATATTTGGAAAAAACTGAAGTCGCTCTAAGCTTATGGGTATTTATTAACGAGGAACCAGGAACTACTGAAAAATTAACAGGAGTTTTTAGAGAGTCTATCCTTGAAGTTGATGCAGTCAAACATTCAAAGGATGAAGATCTTATTCGTAAATTTTTCAGCCAAGGGTTATCATCAATCAATCAAGTTTTAACTACATTTATCGAGAAATTGATACAGATTGATTATTCTTTAACACATATCTTGAACTTGATTGTTAAGACGATGCATGACGGAGTATTCCAGAACGATTCACGTTATATCATTGGAAATGATATTCCACGTTATAAATTATGGATTTTCGAAACATCTTTGTTATTAAGAATTGAAGAAGTCTTTAGTAAAGCCTATTGCAATAACAATAAAGATCATGAATATATATCAACCCAGCAGACACGCTCCATTTTAGTTCAATCTTCTGAGATTTTATATTATTTCGTGACAAGTGCTATTAAATTTATGCAAGAACAAGAAGGCACCAGCGACCAACTCAGGGAATATATAAGATGGTATAAATCACGAAAATTTGAATGGATCGATGCGTTAATAAAACGTGGGTTGGACAAGGAGGCTATTGCTATAGCTGAGAAGTATCATGATTTATCTTCATTAGCACAAATTTTGGAGACTGAAAAATGTGCCATTAGTGAAAAGTATGGAGAAAATAGCCGGGAATATGAAGATTTGTTGAACAGGTATTCCTATTATTTTGAAAAGTTTCAATACGAGTTTGCATCTAATCTATTTGATTTCTATATAAAGAACGATAATATCCAATCCCTTTTAGTTGGGTTTCAGAATTATAATCATTATGTTGAAGAATATTTTTCCAAGAATAGTAAGAAGACATCAGAAATTTCTTGGATTCGTAACCTCATGGACAAAAACTTCCTTCAAGGAGCAGAAACTTTAATCGATTCTGCTCGTTCTAAGAATGAAGATTTCCAAGAAAATATAGAATTGAAATATTCTCTTGCTAAATTATCAGCTATTGCATTTAAAAATTCTGATGAAATGACAGATAACCATAAACTAGAAGAGTTGTTGTACGATGCAGAAAATAACTTAATTCTCATCAGGATTCAAAAACATCTTTACCTGGAGTTGTTAAGTTTCGTTTCCGGGCAGAAGGGCCTATTAAATTTGGATTATGTTTTAAAAAATTTTATAAATGATTCAGTTGATCTCAATACTTCCAAGAAGTTGATAGAACCTTTTTTCCAACATTTTTTGGAAAACAGGCCTTTAGCTCCAAAGCAATTAATAATCTTGTTGACTTTAATCAAGCAATATTCTGGCTTTGTGAATGGCTTTTCTAATGCGTTGAAGGTGGCATCATTGATCACTAACGAACATGAATATAGACTTCAATCTAGAATAATTTGGCTAAGGTTACTTACTTCGACCGACGATTGGTCGACTTTGGCAAAGACAGAGAATAAAACAGACGAGTATACTAAGCAAAAGATTCATGACTCTATCTTGTACAAGACTATTTCGTCTCTCGGTGCGAAAAGCGAACTTTTGAATGAATTGGATGAACTATTATTGCATTACTCCGAAGGTCTCGATGATGACAGAGAGAATGAGATAATTCAAAGCCTCAATGCTAGGTATTTGGATAAGTTGCAAACCTATATTGCTAAATATGACTTAAAAACCTGGATTATGTCCATTAAACAAGAAGTGAAGAACAACACTACTGGAATGCTTAAAAATTCTGATTCTAAATAGATAGATGTGGCATACGCCTCTAATAATGTATATTTTTATTCCTAATTCAATACTTACAAATTGTAATAATCCATTCCATTAATCTGTATAGGAAGTCTGCATTGCTTCTCTATCCTCATCCTCGTTTATATTTTCACTCTCTTCAGCCTGCTGATCCAGTATGTAATCTTCTGTCCCCAACTCTTCCTTCTCTTGTATATCCTCACCCAAATTGTCATCTTTATCAAGCTTTATACGCACGAGACATTCAGGTAGAGGTGCTCCAGTATCATAATCCTTCTCACTATATTTCAACAACCCTAGGGATGCCAACGACACAGATTTCACCACATTTTGCCAATTAGATAGAACCAATGCAACACTTTCTGTACCTTCTGCCATATAATCCAATTTATTCTCTAATTCATCCAATTGATTTGTTAAAATAGATGTGAAGTTTTTAATTTCATTCAAGTTCTCCAACTCTGCTTTTTTTTCAGCAATCTTCTGCTGTATGTGAGTTGATTTTAAAACCGTACGTCGATCCATTTTCTGTTTGGATCCATATATAACAAGAAAAAAATATAGAATATGGTGATTCTTAAAACTACACCTATATAAAACCAAAATAAGAGACGCGGATATGCACGTGATTTATGTTTATAGTATTTGTAAACTATCATAACAAATACATGTAGTAAGAGTATTACATTTCTTTATATATACCTGGAAAAGCGTCATGGCAAGACCTTCTGTGAGCTCACAGTCTCTAGTGGACTTAGCGAGCTCAAAGATTCAATCAAAGAAAGAAACCAAAGGTTATGAAGAGCACAATCTGCCTGCTTCATCATTCTCAGATCATGAAATAACACAAGAGCCGATAAATAACAAGGGATTGAAAAATAAACAGGAGCAACATAAGAACATAGAGTTGATCAGGAAGAAGTACACACTTCAGAATAAGTCGCTAGCCAAAAACAACTCTCTAATGATGCTCAGGATATCAGAAATGGAGGCTAAAGTGAGTGATTTGATAAACGAGAATATGCTATTAAGGAAGAGAAGGACGTTTAAAGATGCAGAATTGAAAAAACAATTAGAATCGAAACTTGTAACTTTGGAAACAGGGTTAATGCATAAATTTGGCGAAATATTTGAGATGCTTAAAGGGGTGAGGATGAAAGAAGGTATACCCGAAAACCCCCAGTTAGACGTTTTCAAGAATTTACTTGATGAAGCTCCCACAGCAACATCTACGCCTATAGAGGAAGTAGCGGAGATAGAAAATAGTCCGTTTGTGTTAAATACTAGGTCGTTTGGACAGCCATTGAAGGATGATTCATTCACTTTACCTAAATCCCATCTATATTTGCATACGGCGGATAAGGGAAGCAGGCAGCCGACTGTAACTGAAAGAAAATCTATTGAAGAGAGGGAAAGCGATTCTGTTGAAACAAGGCAAAAAGATAAAATATATCGCGTTAAAGATAATTCTGTTGACAATATTCTCCTCCAAGGGCTGGAAAATGCTTCTCCAATGCAAGATATTAATATTTATGAACCCAAAAAAGCTGAGAAACAAGATACGGAAGCGATGGAATTTCCTCAGAAGCTTTCAACTCCCAATCAAAAGATTCGATCTAAAGAGTCTCGCACGTTCGACGTATACAATGATAAGGATAAAAATAATGATGGGATAGATATTTTGAGTAACAAAAAGGAGTCAAAGCGAACAAAGATATCAGGAAAAGCAGCCCAAAAACAGGTGGTAATTGCTCAAGATGACCCTCCAATTAAGGAAGAGGTGCGTCAAGAGGATGCCCAAGAAGAGGTCCAAGAGGAAGGTCAAGAGGGGGACCAAGAGGACGGTCAAGATGAGGGCCAAGAAGGAAACAGAAGACCTAGTCGTAGCAGAAAGCCCGTTAGTTATAAATGGCCTTCATTATCGAAGAAAATGAGACGACAATCGGAAAAATTTGTTGATGCAGTTATTGTTCCCGATGAGGAAGAACCTTCTGTAGACTCATCTATTAAGAAGGAAAATCAATCGCATAATGAGCGAAAGAGAACTAAAGGCACCGATAATACGGAAAACAGTTCCTCTAAGAGATCAAAGCGCCCTCCATTAGGTAATGTTACTCTTGCCAACAATAATAAAACCAACTCTAGAAAAGAAAACACAGACACCAAGCATAATGCGCTTAATACTAAGGTCCTTCAAGATACAAATGACGAGAATGACGAAGTAGTTCAATCCAAGATGAACATCCAGATAGAGCGAGATGAGAAGAATGATGCGTCTATCTTTGATTTCGACGACGCAAACAAGCCACCAAAAACATACAAGAAGCGCAAGCAAGGTATTTCCAAGGGAGAGAAGAGAACATATGAAAGCAGAAGGCACAGCATGTTAATTTAGTAGATTATGTATATTGTTATTAATAATATTATATAAATATTCGGTCAAATTTAATTGTAGAAATTTCTTAAACACTCATCTTCATTTTTATCGGACCATAAGGATCGTAGCCAATTATTTCAAAATCTTCAAACTTGAAATCATCAATAGACTTGATTTCATCTTTTCTTTCTTCCTTGATTATTAATTTAGGGAAATCTTTAGGAGTTCTGGCCAATTGTACTTTTAAAGCATCCACATGATCCAAATACACATGAGCATCACCTAATGTATGGATAAACTCACCACAATCCATGCCGACTATATGTGCAATCATCTTAGTTAATAGGGCATATGAAGCAATGTTGAACGGAACACCCAATCCCATGTCACATGAACGTTGGTATAGTAAACACGATAATTTTGGTCTGGACGACGTCTTTTGTTGTTTATTTGTGTTGGAGTCTGGGGCCTCGTTTGGGAAGTTGACGTAGAATTGGCAGAATACATGGCAAGGTGGCAATGCCATCTTAGCAAAATCTGGTGGATTCCATGCTGACATGATAATTCTTCTATCGTATGGATTTGTTTTCAATTTTTTTATAACATCCTGTAATTGATCAACCCCCTGTCCCGAATAGTCGGCATCACAATCCTTGTATTCTGCTCCAAAATGTCTCCATTGGAACCCATAAACTGGACCTAAATCTCCCTCACGACGGTCCGTCAACCCTATTGAGTCCAAGTATTCTCTTGATCCATTGCCTTCCCAAATTCTAACACCCTTTTCCGACAACTTTTTAGCATCTGTGCACCCTTGCACGAACCATAATAATTCATGAATGATTGCTCTCGAGAAAACCTTCTTTGTAGTAAGTAAAGGAAAAGTATCGTCTGAGAGATTAAATCTTAACTGTGGAGGAGCAAAAAGTGATTTAGTACCCGTTCCAGTTCTATCAGGACGATGTTCTCCTTCATTTATGATACGTTCACACAAATCCAAGTATGCTTGCTCTGCTGTGTTTGTAGATACTGTCATTTTGCACTGTAGGACTTATATTATGTTACTAAAAACACCAACTCTTTATATTTATTTTAATAGTTCGTTTACGCGAACGCGTATCAATTGATTCATATACGGACTGCAAGCCACATTGCAAATTGCCTACTTTTCTTATCATATCGAAGAGATGCAAAACGATATAATGACCAAATAACCAAACTATCTTCTCAATTATATTAAGTCTACATCGAAAAATATCTACAAAATCTAGTTTTTAACATCATATATATTGAGTTTGAGTAACTATTTCTAAAAAATACCAGTTCTTAAAACAGTAACTAGCCAATATATACACTAATAGCAAACTTGTTTACTTCTTTTCACCGAAAATAGCATCAGAAGCTTGTTGAACAAATGACTTGTCACCACTACGGGTGTTGCCGCCAACTAAGTTGTCGACCTTGTCAGTGACAGTGTCCTTACCCTTGTCAAGAGTGGACTTTTGGGAATCTGGCTTAACAGCTGATTCAACTTTATCGGAGATATCTTTACGGCCGGTGTCTGACATTGTTATTCTTATTAATTAGTTTATTAATTATTAATTAAAAAGCATATTTGAAAGAAAAGTTGTTATTTGGAGTCACTTAAATACTTTTGAGATTGGACCTATTGATGCCGTCATGGCTTCATCGAAGGGGGAATACTGCAGAGGGGGAGCCATATGGGTGTATTCTTCCACAACGTTCTAAAAGTGGACCAAAAAATAACAATATATGGAATGCTTGCTATCATTATGGACCAGAAAATGCTTCGATAGCAATAATACTCATTTAGGTCACTATATTAGCAATCAAAAAATTCGAGTGAGAATTTAGCATATGCAATTAGTCGTCATTTGGTTCTATATAGCGAAATAAGATAAACGAGTCGCGTGCACAGTATGTAAATATAGCCTATATGATGATGTATGGTTCAAATTTAGAACACTTGGAGCCACGAAAAATACTTGAACCATTTTGGTTCTACTAAGATACAACGGGATTCAGCGATTTTCAAAGGCTGTTCCCCTTCCTTTAACGGATACGTTTCCAAATCACCCTGAATGACAACTTTTCTTCCCTTAGCCTCTTTAACCCTTGCTCTCAATATGACTGTACTGCCAGGTGGAACTTGATTCTTGAAGTCGATGGACAATTTGGCTGTGACCCCCTTCTTTGAAGGCAACAACGGAAATCCGCATGAGCACAAACCTTCGTCCAATATCGTAGATACAACACCGTTGTGTATTTGTCCATCTTGACTTATGAGCAGACGACCCAAATGGTAAAATCCTGTCAATTCTCCCTCGTCTTGGTTGAGAAAGATGATGGGGTCGATTTCCATTAGATTGGGCCCGAAAAGTATTCCTGACCCAACGCTATTTTTGTGATGTTGACTGGGGAATGACTGACTCGAGTAATGCATAGTTACAGATTCATTTCCTTGTAGTTTCTGATATTCACTAGTATTCTGGATTTGTTCTATCACCGATTGATTAAAACTAGTCAACTTACGGTCACTAGTGAAATTTCCTTTCCTCCAATCCCTAGGGAATGCGGCAAATCCTATTCCAAGCGCAATGAATGGACTGCTTATTCTACTTATGGCTCTAAACATGTGTATTATGGGAACTGAATATCAGAGGGTATAATATCTTCATCCAGACTACTAATTGACTTTATTGATCCCAAATGCTATATACAGGCACACAATAATCTACTAGCTACAATTACCCATGCTATTGGTATGGTTAGTTGAAGAGCTATGAACAGAAGAACGTGCTTGTTAGATAGAAAAACTTCGGGTCTCTACAGTAACCAATTAGTATGGCAAATTTTGAGTCATAAGATGTTGAGATGGTCTGGTAAAAGTGTGGAAGACAAATGCGTTCAACACCACAATTAAACTTCAAAATATAGTTGGTGACTGGTAAGACGGCCAAGGCCAACTTTACTATTATCGTAGTACTTATTTTGGGCGTGTAGTTATATAGATGGAAGTATTCAAGACGTGAGCCCAAAAGCAGCGAAGAGCAGACTTCTCGCGATTCTGAAAGATATTCACGATCATCGTTTATGAGAGTGCATTTTTCTACGAGTAGATCTATAGTTTCAGGCTCATCGAAATAGAAGTTAGACTAGAGATAAGTCAACATACCCTAGAGGATCGCTATGAGCGGAGGGCACCGATTTAATAAGAAGTTTAACTCGCTAGATAAACGAGGACTTGGTGGGCCAGTTCATCCTGTAAATCACTTGAGAAGTGGAAATAGTAAGCATGGGTCCGTGAGTCCTCCAACTGGGTCTAGGTTCTCCGTCAGGAATCAATTGAAGGATGTATTTGGTGATCTGGTGGATAATTCAAGGAATCTCAGAAAGAGCCTCGAGAGTAAATTGCATGATCCAGTGGTTGAATCGGATGATTCTGATACTGGTGGTAAGGATGAGGAAAATATTATACGGATTAAAACATTATCCGGCAAAGACGTTTTCATTTTCAACGGAGATATAGACGAAAACCTGGGCGAGATGCTAGTGGTCCGATCAATGCTGATTAATGGAGACCTGGTGCAACAGGCTAGACCGGGGGAGTTGACGTTTAGAATTTCCATCAACGATGACTTCTTACTTTTCACTCAAAAACAGAGGATAATAGCAGCAATATCAAGGAATCTTGAATTCAAGAGCATAAATTTTAGCATAAACAAAAGAGCCATACTAATTGAGTTAAATAATTCGGGTTACATTTATTTGAAATACACCGAGGATGATAGTAATATTCTTTCGTACTTCTTGAAGAATAAGCAATGGAACGTTAACACGCCTACAAGGGTTGTGAATGACTTACTACTTGAAAAAATCAGAATAATAAAACAAAAGAGAACAGAGCATTTGAACAAAACTTCATTGTCCAAGAATACACAAGAAACAGCAACTCACCTACCAGTAATATCACCCGATGTTATGTATGGAAGAACAAGATCCTCCAATCGTATCAGTGGGTACTCATCACCTATCACAAACGCAAATAGTTCAGCTACAAAATCACGTAACATATACGATGAAGATTTAGTCAAGCCTAATATGGTCCCACATCTCTTTGAGGTCGAGCTCAAGTATGTTTTTTCAGATAATAAAGTCTTCACTATAACTTATTCAGATTTTAAAACATTATATGATAACGATTGGATCAACGACTCCTTGATAGATTTTTTTATCAAGTATGAAATGGACAAGGCGATTCATCAAAAGCATCTATTCAAACAATCGGATATATATGCATTTAATTCATTTTTCTTCACCAAATTAATGTCTGGTGATGAATTTAATGATGAAATAGATTATTACGGTAATATCAAGAGATGGCTTAATAAACTAGATCTCATGAGTTACCCTAATATTATAATACCAATTAATGAAAACTTGCACTGGTATTGTTGTGTAATAAAAGGACTACCACAATTATTAGAATCTGCATTAAAAAAAAAAGAGGCATTGACATCTTCGAATGGTTATGAAGACATACATGAAGCAGAATATGATGATAGTGCTGATATTGACAATTCTGAATCTACTGTAACATCGGCTGTTCTGACATCTGAAGCTACTACAAAGGTCAGAAAGATTTATCAACCGGAGATATTTATTTTTGATTCTATGCGCCAGAAGCATACCAATATTCATTTTCCATTGAAGAAGTTCATTATCGACTACTGTAAAGAAAAATATGATGTCGATATTGGAAGAAATGAGATACGAGTACATTCTGCAAAGGTTCCGAAACAAAATAACTTTAATGACTGCGGGATACATGTTATTTATAACGTTAGAAAGTGGCTTAACAATTCTCAGGAATGTGAAAGAATTTGGAGGAGCTCTAATCTGAGAACTGCCTCTCGGTTACTTTTCATTGCAGAGGAAAGAAATGGTATGCGTAGAGAATTGAGGAATATATTATTGAACTTGAAGAAGAAACAAAAAAGCGAACAAAATGATGCATCTGATGATAGAAATCCTCCTCACGCAGACGATGATATAGAAGTCTTAGAATACACTCCTGTTATAAGCAACAGATCTACCAAACTGCCCAAATTAGATGAAGAAGAGTTGAATGCCACTCCCGAGCTAAGTGAAGTTCAAGAAACTCGAACCTTGGATCCAAAAGCTAGAGACACCTCTATTCGTGATAACCAAACAGATGAGCCGAATATAGCTTCAAGAGATTTTACAGCAAAAAAACAGACACGGGTAGAAAATGAAATGTTGAGAGACTCACTTTCTGGCGTTCATTTATCTATCACCCTCAAGGAGGTCCTCAATGATTACTTCTCGAAGTATGAAAACATTTCTGATTTACAATTAGAGAGGGTACTTCAATTAAGAGACGAGATCAATGAATTGGATGATCTGAAAGATTACGCTTTAATTAAGAAATTCATCACTACTTTTATCAAAGAGTCTAATGATATCAGGAATAACGAATATGAAAAGGCCATGCGACCCAAAGATGAAGACCTTGTGATTATGCATTGTAGTGATAACGAGGAATTGAATCAGAGTGTCAATGGGTTATCTTTATCCAATGCTTCTGATGGTAGTAAACATAATGAAACACCCAGCAGTAAAAGCAGGTGTGGTTCAATTACAGCCATGCAAAGAAACGAACTACCTACCGACTCTAATGAACTCGTAAAGAGAAATAGGGACTCAGTAGAGATATTATCTCCTTCCGAATTTAACAAGGAAACGAAGATTACAAATCCTAATCTTCATAAAAATGAAGATGTTGCATTATACAAGGGTTATAGCAAAAGCGGAAGTAATGAAGAAAAGCTATCAAAAGTTCAAGGGACCCACACGCCAAATCCAGAACAGGCTACATATAGTATGGGTTCACCAAGTACACCAATGTCTGAAACACTATTGTTCGATAATAGTTCCACATTGAAAAGACGTAAACTCGACAAGGAAAAGCATAAGTAGAATAGACAAATTTGCATTCACACAATGATCTTTACATGTATATGGTTCTCTATATAAAAGATTTATTTGTATAATAAATAATTAGCGTATAAATGGCGTATCTTTTTGTGTTCCGAGCTTTCATACAAAAATCATGTTTGGATAGAAACTCTAATAATTGATAGAGAGTAGATTACAAACCATTCACTTTATAAGATAATATAATGTCTAGTACTAGTCCACCACCACTACCAGAAAGAGTATCGGAATCAAACGATGTCGTAGATGAAGTACTGGATCTTCCGCCACTTCCACCAAGAAATGCTAAGTCGTTATCTTCAGTTCCATTGACCTATAACTTGGATGATAGTTTATCGACCATTACAATTATCCGACAATTGGAAACATATTCATCGCCGGTGATGAATGAGGCTTCGGATTTATTCACAGTTAATGCTCTTAGACAGGATAATGTGAAAAGTAAATTGGACACAATCAAACTGAACGAATCTAATACAATTTCGGAGGCAGATATGGATTTCTGGTATTCATATATTGAAGATTATAGCAACCAGTTAATAAGAAATAATAGAATTGAAGAATTAGAAAGGCATATTATCAGTGGTATTCCAGATAATTTAAGATCATTGGTGTATCTCAAAACGTTACAAGTGAGATACAAATTAAATAAAGAAACCTATAATACATTATTGAAAAAAGCGAACAATTCCCAAACATCAAAGAACCAGCAAGTATACATTGATAGCTTGGCAATAGATAGCAATTTGAAGGAAGTTTTAACTATCTTCAATTACTACACTAATGAAGTTATAACACCACGAGCAGCTAAATTAGAGGCGATCAATAATGAGACTGCTAACAACGCATTTGAAAGCAATAACAATTTACCCCCTAACAATTTTGTTATATGCGTCAGTAAGCTAGTAGCAGTAATACCAAATTTACTCAACGAAGAAGTTTTGTTTCTTTTGCTCAAATTCAATAAGCTTTTTATCAGTTTAATTAAGGATGAATTTTTCTACAAGGCGAATAGATCTTTAGAGGATTTATGTCCTGAAGTTTTCGGTTATATTACGAAGCAAGGAATTAATTTAACTACCTTTTATAAGAAGACGTTATTCAGCTTTTTCAATAATCAAATCCTCAACACTGAAATATTATTTACTCTTTTGGACTTCATTGTCATCGAAGGGTTTGATTTTATTCATAGATTGCTAGTTGCAGTATTTAACGCAAATGAATCTTATATTATGACCCTAGATGGTGATGGATTAAACCAGTTTTTAAATTCATCACACTTTTTTGATGCCTTGTCGAGAGAGGAAGAAAAAGTTGAAATTTCGTCGGTATTGAAATATGAGCCAGATATAATAAAATATGAAAACGAGTTCCATTTACTTCATGCTAATTCATTGAACAACAACAATAACGAATTAACAAACTTAAAAGAAGTTAATGACGACTTGGTTATTAAAATAAATGAATTGAAACAACAATTAGAAAATTTAAAGAATACTCATTCAGAAATTTTAAATCAAGGAGACGAGCATTATAAAGAGCTACAAGAAAAGGAGAAAGAAAAGACTGAGTTAACAGCTGTTAAAGACGAGCTAGTAGAAAAATATGAACATTTAAGTATGAAAGAAAATGTGAAAAATACGACAAAGGCTAATAAAGAATTTGCAACGAGAAACGCCGACTTAGAGACGCAGATATCTGCAATGAAAAAGAAGATAGAAGAGAAGAATACTAAGCTTGCAAAATATTCTAAGTAGATCAGAGTAGATTTAGTGTGGACTCTCCTGTATATAGTTCACTTGAATATATAAAAAATTACACTTATTAATATGGTTCTAGTCTATATTGTAGTTAATATTAATTTATGAAAGCAAATGGCTTCAGCAAAAGAAGATAATAAACACCAAGGTGTTGGAATTGTTGGTGCCGGGTTAGTTGGTTGCTTGACTGCTTTGGCTTTTGCTGCCAAGGGGTTTTCAGTCACATTATTTGAATTACGCCCAGATCCAAAGAAAGTTACGAATGAAAAGAATCTTCGGTCTATTAACTTAGCAGTCAGTGATCGTGGTATCAGGGCATTGAAATATGTTGACTCTGAAATGGCCGATAGAGTTTTGGAGCACGTCATTCCTATGACAGGTAGAATGATCCATGATTTATCCGGAACGAAGCAAGAATCCCAGGCATACGGTTTATTTGGAGAAAGCATCAACTCCATAGATAGATCTTTCTTGAATGACTGCTTATTGGATGAAATAAGGCACTCTGATATTAATGTTCACTTTAATCATAAGTTAATAAGGCTCGATGACTTGTCTAGCGAGGAGAAATCACCTAAATTGACCTTTCTAGATACCTCGGAATCCAATGAATCCACAATGAAATCGTATGAATTTGACTACATTATTGGTGCTGACGGAGCGCATTCCCAATTTAGATACCAGTTGCAAAAATCAATGAGAATGAATATTTCTCAAGAGTACATCGATATGCAATATTTAGAGCTTAGCATAGCTCCAAATACGACGGGTGATAGTAAGTTCCATATAGACCCAAACCATCTTCACATTTGGCCAAGGCACGAATTCATGTTAATAGCATTAGCTAATGAAGATGGTTCCTTCACATCCACATTTTTCAGTCCTTGGTCTGTGATCGAATCGTTTGGAACATCGTCGGATAAGTTTATCGACTTCTTCAAGTCCAATTTCCCCGATGCATTTAAGCTAATGGGTGAAGAAAAACTAAAATATGCGTTTGAAAATCAGCCAAGAGGTTCATTAATGCAAGTCAACGTATACCCATACCATAATCCTAATGGCAGAGCATTGATTATCGGCGATGCAGCCCATCTGATGGTCCCATTCTACGGCCAAGGTTTGAATTGCGGATTCGAGGACATTCGGGTTTTAATGGAATTAATTGATAAAAATAATGGAGAAGTTTCCGAGTCGTTTAAACAGTACTCGGTTCTCAGAGCCGAAGACTTACAAACCATCTCTAAATTGGCCTTAGATAACTACCACGAAATGTCTTCAAAGGTTACAAATGTGTGGTACTTATTTAGAAAAAAAATTGACAATATGCTTGGTAGGTATGGCAATGTATTATTTCAATGGATTCCATTATATACGATGATTTCATTTAGAGGTGACATACCTTATTCAAAGGCGATCAAGATAGAAAAAAGACAAACAAAAATTCTCAATGCAATTGAAGTGGGAACTGTAACGGGATTCATTTTGTTCGGAGCTGCCAAGTTGGTCCAACATTACCATAAATTATCGAATAAATAGGTCTATATTGTACATAGGGTGTAATAAATTGCAAAATACCATATTAGTAGTGTTTTTACCAGAGTGAAATTTTCACTGTTGAGCCGGGAAAAAAAATTTCTTATAGGGCCTTTATAATAGTATGAACATTATTACTACTTATTGCTAGGTTAAGAGTTCATTTATGCATTAGAGAATTGGTGTATTTTCTTGATATCGTCATCTTTTTGTTTAAAAATTAATATTAAATAGGGCACATCAATCTTGTATAATAAAAATGTTGAGAAGTAATATAATAAAGAACGCCACTAATTACCAGACACAGATTTTCAAATCAAGTACTACTAGCCAGATCCGTTTATTCCACAACTCTCAGATCCACTATAATGAAAGACCACAATCACCATTAAAAGTATTCTTTGATACATTCAAGGCTGAAGTTAAAAAGTCTAACGAGTTGAAGGAAAACATAAAAGCGTTACAAGATGAATCAGGAAGAGTTGCTGACTCAGAAGCATTCAGAAAGGCCAAAGAAGCCTTTGATAAGGCCCAGAAGGGTAGTAGTGCAGCTGGTAAGGTTGCAAAAAAGACAGCACATGTTGTTGGAGGTGCCGCATACAAGGCCTGGGAATCGCCAGTTGGTAAGGGTGTTAGAACCTCCGTTAGAACCAGTGCTGAAGCTGCTGACAAAGCATTTGATCCAGTTAGAAACACTACTGTCTACAAGAATGTTTCTGATGTTATCGATGACGGTTCATCCAATTCGTACGGTGGTTTCTTAACTAAAGAACAAAGACAAAGGTTGAGAGAAAAAGAGTTGGCTGAAAAATTGAGAAGTGGTAAAGTCTGGAAGCCAGTTAAGGAAGATGAAAGTGCTGGAGGAGAGTTGGTTGCCACCGAACATAAAGCTTCTGGTCCTACGATGTCTGATAAGTGGGAAGACTTCAAGGTCAAATCACCAATCGGACGTGGAATTGTCATATTAAGAGAAAAATGGGATGACTCAGAGAATGGATTGATTTCACTCATCAGAACAATTATAGAAAAGGTTACTGGCTTCTTTGCTGAAACCGAGCAAGCTAAGGTTATCAAACAATTCAAACAAATGGATCCAGCCTTTAGGGTCACGGATTTCACGAAGACCTTAACGAATTACATTGTCCCAGAATTGTTGGATTCATACATCAAGAATGATGAAAAAGTATTAAAACACTGGTTCAGTGAAGCACCATTCAACGTGTGGCAAGCCAACAACAAGCAATTCATACAACAAGGTTTATTCTCTGACGGTAAGATCTTGGATATCAGAGGTGTCGACATCGTTACCTGCAAGAGTTTACAACCAAACGATATTCCTGTCATAGTTGTTAGTTGCCGTGCGCAAGAAATCCACTTATACAGAAAAGCCAAGACTGGTGAAATTGCAGCAGGTACTGAAGACCACATTCAATTAAGTACTTATGCCATGGTTTTCACCAGAATTCCAGAAGAGTTCGACAATACTGTTACTGAAGGATGGAAGGTTATTGAATTTGCTCGTGGTGGTTCAAGACCATTCCATTAATTTATAAAATCCTATTTATAGCTTCTAATTTGTACATATTACTATTTTAACTACTTTATTTAGATCATACATCTTTCTAATCTATCTTACGTCATTATCACTTAATGCTGTAGAGTTATTGATAAGAGTCAGAAGACATTTCAACCGAACGCGGTTTTGTGTAATTCGCCAAATTTTTGGATAAAAAATCAAATCTACACGTTGATAAAATTATTACACCTGATTTATTATAGCTTGTTTTACTTAATCAATCAAGGTATACAAGGTTAATATAAAGATACGATGTCTGATTCTATGGCGACTAAGGAAGAGGCCAATAAGGTCTTTAATAAATTGAAACAACAAGCCGCTAATCAGGTTTGTTTTGATTGTTCAAATAAAAATCCAACATGGACATCGATCCCGTTTGGTATCTTGTTATGCTTAGAATGTTCTGCTGCGCATAGAAACTTGGGGGTGCATATTTCATTTGTGAAGTCATCGAATTTGGATTCGTGGCAAAGAATCCAATTAAGACATTTCAAGTTCGGTGGTAATCAAGTTGCTAAAGAATTCTACACTAAAAATGGAGGTTCCAAATTTCTTGGTAACAAAGACGGGGTTGATATAAATGCTAAATACACCGCACCAGTTGCACTTAAATATAAAGAAAAATTGAAGCAAAAGGCTCAACAAGATGAAGCAAAGCATCCAGACGAGGTCAGCATTGATGATCTCGAGGAAAGTGGAGGTTTGCTTACCGACTCAAGTAACAACGTTTCTACTGATGATTTCTTCAGTAATTGGACAAAGCCAATTAACTCTACTCCTTCGCCGTTATCTTCGAAGAATATCACGCCCAATGCATCCAACGATGATCTCAGTGTGAAGAAACCTGTAACCACTCGTACGACCTCCAGATTGGTGAACAATTCAAGTGGTTCAAATCAACCAAAAAAATCAATATTGTCATCTAAGGGGAACGGGCCAAGAAGCTCGAGATTGGCCAATAAAAGAATTAATAAGGAAACAGAAGAGATTGATTTTGAAGAAATCGAAAGAAAGGCAAAACAAGAAGCTGAAGAGGCCAAGGCATTAGGCTACAATCCAACCACCGAAAGCACGTCCGATGTTAACAGTGCTAAGCCAGCTAAGAGCGAACCAAAAAAATCTGGCTTACCGTTAGGTTCCAGAAAACAAGACACAGAGGAATCGGAGGATTTATCTGTGAAGAGCGTTCCAATCAAAGAAACTACCCAAAAATTCCAGAAATTAGGATTCGGAATGACAGCTGGCTCAAACGAGGTGGTGAATGAAAAATCTAAAAACTATAAGCCTGTCAAATACACCGGTGAGGTCTCCAATAAGTTTGGAACGCAAAAGGGTATCTCGTCCGATGAGTATTTTGGAAGAGGACCCAGATTCGACGAAAACGCCAACGCCGAAGCCAGGGACAAGCTCCAATCGTTCAACGGAGCCCAATCTATTTCATCGTCGTCATATTTTGGTGAAGACGAGTCTGCTCAGAACAATACCCGCCAAGGTGCCGGATTAACGGACATAGAGTCTAGTGCCAGAGAATTTGCCTCTAGATTTTCCGGAAATGCCAACCAAGATTTGGATGTGTTGAAAGACGCTTTCGAAGAAGGTGCCAATAAGTTGGGCTCATACTTAAGAGATTTCTTGAGATAGCTTGGTCCGTTAATTCCAACCCTTAACTTTATTTGACACATATTTAATATTACATAATTATTATTGTTTAATAGATTTAATCAATCCTAGTCTCGTCTAATAACTACAACAAAGTAAAAAAATATTCTCCATCGAAGCTCGCGGCATAACAGTGCAGTAGGAGGGTTCACCGTTAACAATTTCGGGAGAATATTAATCTTAAGGTCATCTATTTTGATTTCGTAGAAGTACGACCTGTTACTAATTTTCGAATTTACGCATTAATCAATTCCAAAGTCAGAAATATTCGCATTTTCAACTGCCATATTTCTCCACCACCTTAGAAAATATCGGTACTCTCTGCAGTTCATCCTTATTGAAACAATTACCACCGTTCGCTATACTATTAGTATCGTTTATTAATCAATTAGTACCGTTCAGCTCGCCTTCGGACTACTCGTAGCCATCGATCTCTCCATTGGGCCAGTCATCTAAGTTACACCTCTGTTATAATACAAGTATTATCGAACGGCCACTCCGACGGTTCGCTTCGGAAGAAGAAACAGATTGGAAGCCTGGAAGCCAGAAGATACGATCTACGTAACTATGCACCTTAAGTGAATCGTCTCTTGCTATTCTACATGTTTAATCGTACACCACGTATTCCGCATTTCTACATCCATACACCTTACATCAAATAGCGTTCTCGAACGCAAGGTGGGGGAGGTTGCGCAGCACTCCTGCTTTTAATCCGCGCCGTCCAAGTTGGTGTACATTGTTCTCTTGTCTTAAATTACGCCCTGCGATTGTTCTGACAACAGTTCCACATTTATGGCGTTAGTGGGGCGCCCAAACTTTCTAACCCAATATCCCTCGTCCTACGAACCGACACCTGGCTTGACTCAAATCGCATCGCCTCAAGGATTTATTATTGTTGAACCGGTACCGATTTCCCGTTAACGAGATATTGAAATAATAATACCTCATCTGAAGTGTAGGAAAATGCCAAAGTAAATGTAACCAAATTATAACCGAGCTGTTAGCACTTTCATTAGTAATGATGAAACAATCGAAAAGTAACATCACATGGTTCGGTCACAGATAGAAGCCCCATATTACTATCTTTAGCTCAAGATGAGGAGCAGATATCGGACATGTATCGTTTTGGATATCCCAAATCTTTCTTAAGGTTATCCTAATAATTAAAATACATGAACACTCATAACCAGTACATTATGTCTCTAAAACAAATTGAAGTATCTCATGAGAAAAAATACACAAAATTGGTTAGCAAGTAAACTTCTGGGGAAAATAGATGATCAACTTGGAGAACTCGGTTTGATATAAAAAATAGACGAATGTCGTATTACCGTAGAAGGATATCAGTAGTAGATCTATTGAATAGATTTTTATATCAGGATTTGTCAATAATATTATGTCTTCAGAATCCAGTACCGAAAAGCCTGTTGCTCTAGGAGCAGAAGCAGGAGCAGAGCATCCGCATGGAGAGAATGGGTTATTTGAACACAGTTCGAGCTCGAGTTTTAACGAAAAAAGAAGAGCGTCGGAGTTGGAAAGCATTCACTCCAAAATCGCAGAACCGGGTCAAGGTGAGAAAGGAAATATTTTGTCGCAGTATTCCGAGAAGCAAGTGATGCAAATGGGTAGAAACTATGCTCTAAAGCACGACATGGATGCCGATTTGTTTGCTCGTGCTGCAGCTTTAGCAAGAACCCCAGATGATTTCAACGCTATGCCTTTCCTTTCGGTGGAAGAAAAGCAAGCTTTGCACAAGGAACACACCAAGAAATGGCACATCCCAGCTAAATTGGTTCAAGTTATCGCATTAGGTTCCATGGCTGCCGCAGTACAGGGTATGGACGAATCTGTTATTAACGGTGCCCTTTTATTCTACCCTAATTATATGGGAGTCGGAAAAGGCGAATATAACCGTTATGGGTATGATACGGATTTAATCGAGGGATTAATCAATGGTGCACCCTATTTATGTGCTTCTTGTCTTGCCTGTTGGATGGCAGATGCGTGGAATAGAAGGTTGGGCCGTAAATGGACCATTTTCTGGACCTGTGTCATTTCTGCTCTAACTTGCTTCTGGCAAGGGTTCGCCAATACATGGTACCATCTTTTTATTGCCAGATTCATGTTAGGATTTGGTATCGGTATTAAGTCAGCAACTGTGCCTGCGTACGCCGCTGAATGTACACCTAAGCAAATTAGAGGTGCTTTGGTGATGTTGTGGCAATTCTTCACTGCTGTTGGTATTATGTTTGGTTATGTCGCCTGTTTAGCTTTCTATTATGTTGGTCCTCATGGTATTGATGGAGGTCTTAACTGGAGATTGATGTTAGGTTCCGCGTGTATTCCAGCTATTATTGTTTTATTCCAAATTCCATTTGTTCCTGAATCTCCTCGTTGGTTAATGGGTAAGGATAGACATAAGGAATCTTACGATTCCTTGTGCAAATTACGTCTTGACAAAATTGCTGCAGCTAGAGATACCTTTTATCAATATGTTCTATTACAAGAAGAAGCATCTTATCAAGGTATTCCAACATGGAAGCGTCTTGTCGAAATGTTCACTATTAGAAGAAATAGAAACGGTGCTCTTGGCGCGTGGATTGTTATGTTTATGCAACAATTCTGTGGTATCAATGCCATTGTCTATTATAATTCAACAATTTTTATCCAGGGGGGGTTTACCGAAGTTGATGCTCTTACAGCGTCTTGGGGTTTCGGTATGGTTAACTTCCTTTTTGCTATCCCAACGTTCTATACCATTGATACTTTTGGAAGACGTAATTTGTTGTTATTCACTTTCCCATTGATGGGTCTTGCGTTAATCTGGACTGGTTTAGGTTTCATTGCTAATGATCATTCTACAGCTCAAACGGGTATCGTGGCAAGTGGTGTGTATGTTTTCTCTGCCATTTATTCTGCCGGTGAAGGTCCAGTTCCATTTACCTACTCTGCTGAAGCTTTCCCATTGTATATCCGTGATCTTGGTATGGGTTTTGCTACTGCCACATGTTGGTTTTTCAATTTCATTTTAGCCTTCACCTGGCCAAAGATCGTTAGTTCTTTTGGTAGAACGGGTGCATTCATGTGGTATGCTGCGTGGAATTTTGCTGGGTTTTTCATGGTATTATGGTTCTTGCCTGAAACTAAGGGTTTAACTTTAGAAGAATTGGACGAAGTCTTCTCTGTCAGTACCAGAAAGCATGCTATATATCAGACCAAAAGTATCTTGAACAGCTTCCAAAGAGTTTTATTGCGTCGTCATATCGATCCATTACCTCCATTATATGAGCACCAAAAGAGAATGGCTGTTACCAATCCTGACTGGGACATTAAAGCCGAAACTGCTCATATCGAGTAGGTTTCTGTATGCATTTTGAATTTAAAATGCTTTTTAATTCTTCACATATCTTGTCGAAATTTTATAACTAATAACATAAAGTTCTTTGAATAGTCAAAATGTAGTACTGTACGAATTTGGAGTTTGGGGATGCCGAATCTTAAGTACTTCCTAAATAGTTCGCGCATTCAGTGACCTTTTTCGCATTTTATTGACTCCATGGGGAAAATCCTTATAGAGAGACACGAATATTTTTTCAATTTTTCCAACCGAGCAAAGCAAATTTAGTTATTATGAGTTAGCCAGCACGATTATTATGTTGTAGACATGCTTGACTTGTTTCTGCTTGGTACATACCTGTAAATATAAATGCCCCTTTATTGTTTTTACCAACTGCCGACTGGTATATTGTAGGCTTGCGAGCATTATAGGTTGCTGTGTTAAGTGTTGTCGGCCCGTAACACGATTTGGGGAATGTAGCGACATGCCCCCCACAGATGACTGCCGCCCGAACTCGAAAACCGTAAAATTACGCCTTTGTATTATTTCGCACGGACTAACCATGGTGTATGTTTTAAAGCTTGTGAATATTTTACCTGAAGCAAAATAGTTTTGATAGTCCTCATATTGGTTGATTGGTTTTATAGATGTATGCACTTCAGTACAATAGTTTGTTCCTATATTTCAATTAGATATATCGAAGACATATTATGAAATATTGCAAATGTAGCTAAATTGCCAGAATTCTATTGGGTGGTCACTCATAACCAGTGCGTTATGCCCCAAAAAAAAATCTTTTTTGACAATCAAACAAGTACATTCTTAAAACTCGCTGGAGGAAATAGATGATCAAAAGGGGGGGTTGTCTGATATAAATAATCGGTGAATATCATTTTGACAAATTTGAATTCTGCAATAGTTAGTTGACATCGCTTTAAGTTAGAATCATTAAAAAATGTCTTCGGGTACAAGTAATGAAAAGCCGATTATGACGGACCTGGATGAAGCTAATCCAGATGTTGGATTATTCGAACCTAGTTCCAATTCGAGTNTAGNGGATGAAAAGAGACGAGTATCCGAGTTGGAGAGTGTTCACTCCAGAATCGCAGAACCTGGTCAAGGCGAAAAGGGAAATATTTTGTCGCAGTATTCTGAGAAGCAGGTGATGCAAATGGGTAGAAACTATGCTCTCAAGTACGACATGGATCCCGATTTGTTTGCTCGTGCTGCAGCTTTAGCAAGAACCCCAGATGACTTCAATGCCATGCCTTTCCTTCCTGACGAAGAAAAGGAAGCGTTGTACAAGGAACAAACCAAGAAATGGCATATTCCAAGCAAGTTAATTCAGGTTATCGCATTAGGTTCCATGGCTGCGGCAGTGCAAGGTATGGACGAATCTGTTATTAATGGTGCCGTTTTGTTCTACCCTAATTATATGGGAGTCGGAAAAGGCGAATATAACCGTTTTGGATATGATACGGATTTGATCGAGGGATTAATCAATGGTGCACCTTATTTATGTGCTTCTTGTCTTGCCTGCTGGATGGCGGATTCTTGGAATAGAAGGTTGGGTCGTAAATGGACCATTTTCTGGACCTGTGTCATTTCTGCTCTAACTTGCTTCTGGCAAGGGTTCGCCAATACGTGGTACCATCTTTTTATTGCCAGATTCATGTTAGGATTTGGTATCGGTATTAAGTCAGCTACTGTGCCTGCGTACGCCGCTGAATGTTCACCTAAGCAAATTAGAGGTGCTTTGGTGATGTTGTGGCAATTTTTCACTGCTGTTGGTATTATGTTTGGTTATGTCGCTTGTTTAGCTTTCTACCATGTTGGTGATCATGGTATTGGTGGAGGTCTTAACTGGAGATTGATGTTAGGTTCCGCGTGTATTCCAGCTATTATTGTTTTATTTCAAATTCCATTTGTCCCTGAATCTCCTCGTTGGTTGATGGGTAAGGATAGACATAAGGAATCTTACGATTCCTTGTGCAAATTACGTCTTGACAAAATTGCTGCAGCTAGAGATACATTTTATCAATATGTGTTATTACAAGAAGAGGCTTCTTATCAAGGTATTCCAACATGGAAGCGTGTTATCGAAATGTTCACGATTCGAAGAAACAGAAATGGTGCTCTCGGTGCGTGGATTGTTATGTTTATGCAACAATTCTGTGGTATCAATGCAATCGTTTATTATAATTCGACAATTTTTATCAATGGAGGTTTTAGCGAAGTTGCTGCTCTTACGGCATCTTGGGGTTTCGGTATGGTTAACTTTCTCTTTGCTATTCCAACTTTCTATACCATTGATACCTTCGGTAGACGTAATTTGTTGTTATTGACATTCCCCTTAATGTCGATCTTCTTATTATGGACCGGATTTGGTTTCTTAGCCTCTAACGATCAAACTAAACTTGGTATTGTGGCAAGTGGTGTTTACATTTTCTCTGCCATTTATTCTGCCGGTGAAGGTCCAGTTCCATTCACCTATTCCGCTGAAGCTTTCCCATTGTATATTCGTGATCTTGGTATGGGTTTCGCTACTGCCACATGTTGGTTCTTCAATTTCATTCTAGCCTTCACCTGGCCAAAGCTTGTGAGCTCTTTTACCTCCACTGGTGCGTTTGGCTGGTATGCTGGATGGAATTTAGTAGGGTTCTTTTTGGTTTTATGGTTTTTACCAGAAACTAAAGGTTTGACCTTGGAAGAATTGGATGAAGTCTTCTCCGTCAGTACCAGAAAGCATGCTATCTACCAGACAAAGAATTTCTTGAATGGCTTCCAAAGAGTTGTATTGCGCCGTCACATCGATCCATTACCTCCATTATATGAGCACCAAAAGAGAATGGCTGTTACCAACCCCGACTGGAACAATAAAACCGAAACTGCTCATATCGAGTAGGCTTTTCTAGATGCATTTGAATTTAAAATGCTTTTTAATTCTTCACATATCTTGTTAAAATTTGATTTTATAGATATCTTATAACTAATAATATAAAATGCTTCAATAGTCAAAATGTAGCCGTACGAATCTGGAGTTTGGGGATTCCGAATCTTAAGTACTTCCTAAATAGTTCGCGCGACATTCGGCGACGTTTTTGCAGTTTCTTGACTCCATGGGGAAAAAGTCTTGGACAATAAAAGAACTCTTGGAAAGTCTTGGACAAATATATTTTCTCAATTATGCCAACTGTACAAACATCGTCGGTAATTAAAAGTGTATTAACCATATGGATTAATTTAACATTGCCCCGAGTAAACAATTGCGGAGTCATTCACCTTCATTCACCATTATTGTGTCCCAAGAATCTATATTCTGTTTTTGTACGCTATACGATGGTTTTTCCCTCCGATATTATATTATATTATAGATAGATACCTGTCATCCTACAGGGTTATGTAGCATTCATAAAGTATACAGACAGCTATATCATATACTTCTAGACTAGCGATAATTGTGCACCTGCTTTAGGTATTTTCGCTATAATGCATATAGCACGTTTCTGGAAAAGGTATTTCAGCATACCTGCAAGTATCTTCAAGAAAGCGATGCCGTAAAAAAAACTACGCCTTTGTTTTATTTCGTATTGGGCTAACCATTTGGCTCGTTTTAATTTTCCGAATATTGGGCAAAAAAGCAATTTAGGTTTGATAGTCCTCAAATTGAAAGGTTGACGTTACAGCTATATGTGATGCATTAGTAATAACTCTTCCCCATACTTCTCCAATGTTCCACTTTTGATATATCGGAGATACACTTTTTTCCTATCAAGATGGTAACACCAGCGTATTTAGTTGGTAAAATTCTATTGGGTAGTCACTCATAACCAGTGCGTTATGTTCCAAGAAAACTTAACTTTCTTGACAAACAAACAAGTACAATTGCAAAACTCGTCTGGGGAAAATAGATGATCAAAATGGAGAATGTAGATATAAATAAGCGTGAAATATCTTTATAGGCAGAATTTGTGTTCTATATTAAACACTGAAGCATTTTTAAGTTAGAATCACATAATACGAGGAACTAAAATGTCTTCGGGTGCAATTAATGAAAAGCCGATTATGACGGACCTGGATGAAGCTAATCCAGATGTTGGATTATTCGAACCTAGTTCCAATTCGAGTATAGCGGATGAAAAGAGACGAGTATCCGAGTTGGAGAGTGTTCACTCCAGAATCGCAGAACCTGGTCAAGGCGAAAAGGGAAATATTTTGTCGCAGTATTCTGAGAAGCAGGTGATGCAAATGGGTAGAAACTATGCTCTAAAGCACGACATGGATGCCGATTTGTTTGCTCGTGCTGCTGCCTTAGCAAGAACTCCCGATGAGTTCAACGCTATGCCTTTCATAACAGAAGAAGAAAAGCAAGCTTTGCATAAGGAACAAACCAAGAAATGGCACATCCCGAAGAAATTGGTTCATGTCATTGCATTAGGTTCCATGGCTGCGGCTGTGCAAGGTATGGACCAGTCTGTTATTAACGGTGCCCTTTTGTTCTACCCTCAATATATGGGAGTCGGAAAAGGCGAATATAACTTTTTTGGATATGACACCGATATGGTTGAGGGATTGATCAATGGTGCGCCATATTTATGTGCTTCTTGTCTTGCTTGTTGGATGTCCGATTTTTGGAATAGACACTTGGGTCGTAAGGGTACTATTTTTTGGACATGTGTCATCTCTGCTGTAACATGTTTCTGGCAAGGGTTTACCAATACATGGTATCATCTTTTTATTGCCAGATTTATTATGGGGTTTGGTATCGGTATTAAGTCAGCTACTGTGCCTGCGTACGCCGCTGAATGTACACCTAAGCAAATCAGAGGGGCATTGGTTATGTTGTGGCAGTTTTTCACGGCATTTGGTATTATGCTTGGTTATGCCGCTTGTTTGGCATTCTATTATGTACCAGATCGTGGTATTGGTGGAGGTCTTAACTGGAGATTAATGTTAGGTTCCGCTGGTCTTCCAGCTGTATTTGTATTGTTCCAAATTCCATTTGTCCCTGAATCTCCTCGTTGGTTGATGGGTAAAGGAAGACATAAGGACTCGTATGATTCATTGAATGCGATGCGTCTTGACAAAATTGCTGCAGCTAGAGATACATTCTACCAATACGTCTTATTACAAGAAGAAGCTTCTTATGAGGGTATTCCAGGTTGGAAACGTCTTATCGAAATGTTCACTATCAGAAGAAACAGAAATGGTGCATTTGGTGCATGGATTGTTATGTTTATGCAACAATTCTGTGGTATCAATGCAATCGTTTATTATAACTCTACTATATTTATTGAATCTGGTTTTACCGAAGTTGATGCTCTTACGGCATCTTGGGGTTTCGGTATGGTTAACTTCATCTTTGCTATTCCAACTTTCTATACCATCGATACCTTCGGTAGACGTAATTTGTTGTTATTGACATTCCCCTTAATGTCGATCTTCTTATTATGGACCGGATTTGGTTTCTTAGCTTCTGACGACCAAACTAAAATTGGTATTGTGGCAAGTGGTGTTTACATTTTCTCTGCCATTTATTCTGCCGGTGAAGGTCCAGTTCCATTCACCTACTCTGCTGAAGCTTTCCCATTGTATATTCGTGATCTTGGAATGGGTTTCGCTACTGCCACTTGTTGGTTTTTCAATTTCATTTTAGCTTTGACTTGGCCTAAACTTGTGAGCGCCTTTACCTCTACTGGTGCATTTGGTTGGTATGCTGGTTGGAACATAGTAGGGTTCTTTTTAGTTTTGTGGTTTTTGCCAGAAACTAAAGGTTTGACCTTAGAGGAATTGGACGAAGTGTTCTCCGTCAGTGCCAGAAAGCATGCTAAATGGCAGACAAAGAATTTCCTAAACAGTTTCCAAAGAGTTGTATTGCGTCGTCATATCGATCCATTACCTCCATTATATGAGCACCAAAAGAGAATGGCTGTTACCAATCCTGACTGGAATGATAAAACCGAGGCTACTCACGTTGAGTAATCTAATCTACTTCAGGAATACCTTTAATTCACCTTAGTACTACTTTTAATAAATATTTTCCTTTCGAATTAACCAAGGTTATGACTTTATTTACATAAATGTTTTGTTCGTAATATATTTTTGCAATCGATGCTGAGATAATCTCTTCAGTGTTTTGTATTTATGAGATTTGTTGAATCTCTATTAGTTAAATGGTTCTATAAGTTTGCCTTTTTTTTCGTAAATTCTCTTAGTTTTGCAAAATTTTGCAATTTTTAAAATTAATTTTAAGTCCTTTAAATTTTTTACTCCTTTCAGAATTTTTTTAAATATACCGTATACTGTTTTCAATTACCATACCCTATTCCAAACATTTTCATAGATAATGAGTCTGTATAATTAGTGCAATTATATTCTAAACGTTAAGTCTACAGTGCTCGAATGGAGCAATTACTTGAAGTCTATCTTTCCGCATTAGCAGGGTTTGATGCAATAAAATCTGGCGATACTAGAGATAAGAATTGCACGAGAATTGACGAGTTTAGGAGACAAAATTAGTACGTGCCTTCAGGATAAATTAAACACCATTCGAACAATGCGACCATCAGTCCGTCTTAAAACGACTAAGAATCAACAACCACGATAATATGAAATATGCGGTATACAATTCCGAAGTGGAGAAACGCGATATAAAACCATCCAATCTGTCAATTGTTACTACTTTTTAAAATATAAGGTGTAATAGATAGATATTTAATAATATAAGTTTCAAAATGTCTTCCAACAAATCCTTAAATGCACGCTATTTATTTTATTTAGTTAAGTATCCGTTGTTCACAAAGTCCATCACAGCAGGAATATTATCTGGGTTGAACGAAATAATTGCATCAGTGTTGGCCAAGGACTACAAATACACAAGAATAGCAAATCATAGAATAAAACATGTTATCAGTCCAAAGATTATAACTATGATCATATACGGTTCATTGATTCTGACTCCAATATCACACCAATTGTATGCTATTTTAAACAAAATTTACAAGGGACCCAATTTATCCCCAATTATGAAAGTCGCTCAAATATTGACCTCGTTGTCTGTGATTACCCCAACATTGGCAGCAGTTTTTGTTAGTTGGTTGTCTTTTATAAATAACTACGGTTTACCTACAAAAGGCTTTAACATCGTACATGAGATAAAGAAGATAGGAGTTATCATTAAAAACGGATTGAAGAAAAGTTACTTACCCATTTTAAAATCATCGCTTGTGACTTCAACGTGTACATTGATTATTGCTCAAAAGTTTATTCAACCAGAATTGTGGGTTGTTTTCTTCAACCTTGTTTTCTTTGTATTGGGTACGGTGCAAAATACGAAGGTGAAGAAGCAACAACAAGAATTACTTAAGAAGAAGGATGACTAGATTAGCTAGACTATAAAATTACGTATTTTTGATACTTTTCACCCACTCAATAAATACTATTGACCATAAGTCCGGATATGCTATTTCTCGGTACCAGTCCATATATGTTGCCGACACCTGAAGTAATTTTATTTTTTGAAATACAAACCTCACACTACAAGATCCACTACCCCCGCTATATAATTACTAATCGACAGCGCTGTAGAAACGGTACTAGGAGTTGGAAAAGTATCCATGGGTAAGGTAAGGTGTACCTAAACGACAAGACAAATTAATATTTATATACAGTACATCGCAATCGACCTTGTAGCTTGATTCTCCCGGAGACGTGTACACTATATATATTGCTGATCTCTTTCTGCTTTCTAAGATTTTACTCTGCTATATATAAAGATGTATCGTAATCAATTGGCTAGAGCTTCATTCAGATCGACTAGTTCAATTAACCAAATTCGTAATATGATTACAGCACAAGCAGTCGTATACGCCCAACATGGGGAGCCTAAAGATGTCATAAAGACTCACAAATATGAGATTGACGATGACAATCTCGATTCTAATTCCATTATTGTCAAAACTTTAGGGTCACCAGTTAACCCATCGGATATTAACCAAATACAGGGGGTTTATCCTTCGAAACCAGAAAAAACCACCGAATTAGGCTCCAGTGAACCAGTGGCAGTTTGTGGAAATGAAGGTTTGTTTGAAATTCTTAAGGTAGGCGACAATGTTTCAAACTTCAAGGTCGGTGACTGGTGTGTCCCAACATCAGTGAACATGGGAACCTGGAGAACCCACATGTTGTGTGGAGGTGATGAGATGACCAAGATTCCTAATCCTGAACAATCCAAAGCCAATGGAAAGCCTAGTGGATTATCTGTCAACCAGGGGGCTACAATTTCGGTTAATCCTTTAACTGCTTACTTGATGTTGACTCATTACGTTAAGCTCACTCCAGGTAAGGATTGGTTTATTCAAAACGGGGGCAATTCAGCCGTCGGTAAGTATGCTACCCAGATCAGTAACTTATTAGGAATCAACTCGATTTCCGTTGTCAGAGATAGACCAGACCTTCAAGACTTGATCAAGAACATGACAGAGGAATGTGGTGCCACCAAGGTTATTACAGAAGAGCAAAATGCATCAAAAGAATTTGGCAGTGAAATCAAGTCATGGGTAAAGGAAACTGGGGGTGAAATTAAGTTGGCCTTGAATTGTGTTGGGGGCAAAAACTCTACTGGAATTGCCAGAAAATTGAATAACAATGGGTTAATGTTAACCTACGGTGGTATGTCGATGCAACCTGTTATCTTGCCAACTTCTTTGCACATTTTCAAGAACATCACCTCGTCTGGATTCTGGGTCACCCAATTATTGAAGAACGATGTGGAGTTGAAGCGCAAGACATTGAACCAAATCATCGAATGGTACGAAAATCGCCAATTAAAGGATGCTCCTTCGAAGGAAACTAAGTTTAACCCAAGTGACGAGTTGAGTAAATACTACATTGATGGTATTGTAAACTCCAAGGGTGGTAAGCAATTAATTGTGTATTAAATACCAGCATTTAGGATCCTCTTAGTCTTACTAGACTCTACATATGATAGAAAAATTACGCTTCTTTGTAAATTTCTCTTCCACATACTGATTAGAGTATTTTTTAATTTTTTGCTGCATCAAGGGCAACTGATAAAACTGCTTTCTTTCCGAAATATACATGTTACGTCTTTAACTCTAAAACTACGTCTATCGTTATAATATACAATTCCGACTAACATTTGTTAGCAGTCTACATGTCCAGCTCCTTATTTGCCGTCTCTACTAATAACTCATCATCCCACCCTAACGCATTTCTCACCTCGAAAACTTAATTCCACCAAACTTAAAACTAAAGTTGTACACAATTTTCCCTGACCAACTTTCTGGTGTACCAGCGTTCTAGATGTATTGGTGTTATTGTTCGAACTGTTTGTGGTTTCGACCTTACAGAAAAGAAATTCAAGGCCCGGACATATCCGAAGATTGTAGCATGCGGCATTGAGATGAGGTTAAAGTGCAGGCTAGAAGCCATCATACGAGCTACAATTAGTACAACGAAGAACGCTCTATACCCATAAATAAGACTATTACAACCTAAACCAAAGGCCTAAGACCATTGTATGTAAATATTGGGGTATAAACCATATATAATACGTAAAAAGTTGATATTTTAGAACACATATGCATTTGAGGTTTTGAAAAGATTTTTGTAGGAATCTGCGGGTCGCGTTATCCGAGCTCTTTTAATGCAAAATTCTTATCAGAGAAAAAGTGGATAACAGGTTGAAATTAATTTCTATTTTGGCTTGTTATAGTAGCCAGTGGCTTTTATTGTCTTTTTTCAGGGAATAATTAATAAGATCGGGTACAAAATTGGAGCGAGCTTTTTAGTGATTGTATTTAAAGGTACTGATAAGTGAGAATATTATATTTCGATATTTGTTAAAATTTTAGATAAGTAATTTAATAGTTGTACACACACATACACTTAGACCATTTGGTATTGTTTAATAAGTTTTCACAAGAGCAAAATAATCGATAACAAATATGTCGCGTGCGTTATCTTCTAACAATGTGTTGATTGGAGATGAAATCAAACCGGGAACTATCATTTTTTCGATTGAAAGTGGGAAAATTTTACATATAGAAGAGAGGGTTTTAGAGGTGTCGGACCATATATTGCGGGTATATAATGTGTTGCCTTACGATTACAGAAATGTTTCACCTTTGGTGATCATGCCGGGGTTGGTAGATGCTCATGTGCATCTTAACGAGCCAGGAAGAACTGAGTGGGAAGGATTTGCTACTGGGACCCAGGCAGCAGCTTCTGGGGGAGTAACCACGGTTGTCGACATGCCGTTGAACGCCATTCCACCCACCACGACCATAGCGAACTTCAACTTGAAGATTAATGCAGCCAAGGGCCAGACGTGGGTGGACGTCGGATTCTGGGGAGGCATGATACCACTGAACTTAGAGCACTTGAAGCCGTTAATTGCGATGGGAGTCAGAGGATTCAAGGGTTTTCTTATCGATAGTGGTGTTGAGGAATTCCCTGCTATCGATACAGACTACATTATGCAGGCTATGAACCTAGTGAAAGGCCTTCCTACGTTGTTAATGTTCCATGCGGAGATGCAACCCAAGCCCAAGGTGACTCACGAGGCATCGACGATCGAACAAGTGGAAGATGAGACACCGGAATTACCCAAGGAGACGTCAGCCCATTTTACTTTTGGCGAAGAGTCTGATTATGAAATGGACGAGGCTCAATACACTAAACCAATTGACAAGAATCTTCGAAAATTGTCAAAAGAAATTGATGCCAGTGAAGTAGGAATGACCGATTCTTTCGTGAAGAGAGCACCCACTCCAGTGGTTGATATTTTGGCTACGCAAAAGTGTAGCAACGAAGATCATGACTATTGTTCTTTACCTCATAATCATGCTGGTTCCATTGACCACTCGGTGTTGAGTGACGAACAAGCAAAAGCATTAGCGAAATCCTCGTTATTGGCAGCAGCCGATCCCACTCATGGGAGATACGCTAAGATGGCCAATCATATTTCCAACCAAGACCAACACCCAGAGGACTACGAATCAATTGAAACAATGGAAATCGATCAAGAACACGAACGTCACCCTTTTACAAAGGAACAATCAGTCGATGCTCCATTAGTTTTGGCGCAAAAAGATGATTCAATATTAGAAGATATCGATCCTTCATCCTACGCTGCATTTTTAGCTTCAAGACCTGATAATTTTGAAACAACGGCCATTGCCGAAATCATAAACTGTTCCACCAAGGAACCTTCTGTTCCATTGCATATTGTTCATTTGGCTACTCATGAAGCCATCCCATTGGTTAGAGCTGCCAAGGCCCAAAATTTGCCTATTTCAGCTGAAACATGTTTCCATTATTTATCTTTAGCAGCTGAGAAAATTCCAAACAATTCCACTCATTTTAAATGCTGTCCACCAATTAGAACAGATGACAATAGAAAGTTATTGTGGAAAGCATTAAGAAATGATATTATTTCAACAGTGGTATCTGACCACTCTCCTTGTACCCCAGAATTAAAGGGTTTAGAAAAGGGTGATTTTTTCTCTGCTTGGGGTGGTATATCATCAGTCGGATTCGGCTTGCCTATTATGTATACTGAAGGTTCAAACCAAGAACCTCCTGTAACATTGCAGGATATCAGCAGATGGTGTTCCTGGAATACGGCTAAACAAGTAGGCTTATCGAATTCGAAGGGTAAAATTGATATAGGATTTGATGCCGATTTCTTGTTGTTCGACCCAGATGCCGTTTACACCATTACGAATAGTAAAACATTCTTCAAAAACAAATTAACTGCATATGACGGCATGGAATTTAAGGGTAGGGTAATGGAAACCATAGTAAGAGGTAATTCAGTATTTGCCTTAGGAAAAGGTCACTCGGATATTCCAATGGGTAAATTAATACTAGAACCTAGAGTTAATTAAGGCACTTTAGGTAAGCATTATTTCATTAATTTTGTAATCTAATAAATGTAAAAATTAATATATTGCGACATAATCGTAGAATAGGTAAATCTCTAGATGAAATTTTATTATAAGCTTTGTATTTCAAAAACTAATAGTTGGATAACTAAATATTCAAAGGTGTGTCACCGTACTTACTGTTATATAACCCCAATGCTTTGATAGGAAATAAAAATTTATATGAATCATATTCAATAGCACAACTATGGTTGAAAACACCATTCATGTCCTCAAATTTCCATTCACCAGTCCTCTTTTGTCTACTCATTAATAATGCGAGACCTTTTTCAATAGCTTCTTTATTTGGGTAGTCAGCTAATATCAACCCTATCAAGGCCCACGAGGTTTGAACGACTAATGATTGCTCTGTATTGACATACGTACCGGTTTCACATGATTTCATAGATTCGGACCACCCACCATCAGCCAATTGTTTGGATACTAAGAAGTCACACCCTTTTCTTACAGTATCGGAATTAACGTAACTGTATCCAACAGAATTTAATGCTTCAAGGGCAAACATAGAGGCGTATGTATAGCATATACCCCAAGAACCATACCACGAACCATCTTCAGCCTGAGCCTTTATTATATAGTTTATTGCATTTTCAATTGAAAACTTGATTTGATCAGTTCTATAATTTGGATAGAACTCCGCAAAGTAAGTTAAACCTAAGACCGATGAATCCGTGCATTCCACATAAGGATATTCAACCATAATATTATTAAAAACTTCAGCAGGATTCAAGCTTTCTAATAGTGGCGTAGCTCTTATAGTCTCATAAGAAGAAAAAGAACCAAACTCGAAATCATTAACGTTTTGAATATTCAATATAACATCAACTGCATTATAAAGGTTTTCATCTTCGATATCGTCCTTGATATCAGCAAATGCAGGATGATTCTTTACCATAATTATGGCCTTTAAAGCTTCAGCTGAACAATCACTCACAGTATAGCCTTGTGTTTTAGTACTGAATGGCCAGCCACCTTTACGTTTGTCTCGGAAACTTCCATCAACACAATCCTCAGTGAACTGTGATCTGACCAAAAACTTGTAACCCTTACGAATCATCTCTTGGTATTTCGGGAATTCTGATAATCCAGCCATGAAGAAATATTGAACCATAAAGGCCACATCCCAAACTTGGACACCGTTAGTACCCATAATAGTCATACCTTGAGGTCCATGAAACAACGTATCATTCATTCTATATTTGAATCGTTCAAACGCGTATGACTTAGGCCCCTCTTCTAGGAACGCTATGATCATATTAAAAGCAAAGCTCACGGGAGCAATACATAGATAATCAGTATTTGCACATTCTTTTTTAATTAATTCGTAGACCCTATCGTTCGACTTCTTAAGGAGCCATTTGGGTCTGATGTATTTCTCATATTTCACCATACCCCAATTAAGACAGTCTAAGACAGTAGTGTGGGGGTAGTACAAATCAACTCCACAAACATTATTTCTGTGCTTCTGGAAGTCGATTTTCTCATAGGGCAATTGCTTTGGCAAATAAATCTCATTCCTAATCTCCTGCAACAAAGGATCTAGGTCACATTTCACTTTGTACGAAGAAACGTAGCCAAGAGGTAAATAAATAGCTCTGGTATGAACCCACCATCTACCAGGATGAATTCGGACATTGTATGGTAAGAGCCACATTTCTGGTGGTGCTGGATTAACACCTTCCCATTCGTAAAGGTTCAAGATTGATAACCACGCCTTACCCCAATGAGGATTACCTAATGCTCCTCCGAGTCTATGTAACGTCTTACGGGCTTTCACACACACAGGATGATCGGATGGTAATCCAAGCAATCTCAATGCCACGTAGTTCATGGAGGTTCCAAAACACGTAGATTTATCTATAGAATGCAACCCCCATCCTCCATCAACAGGATGCGACGTATTCACAAGATACCTTATCATTTCCGTCCTATAGGGCTTAGGAATCTCGTTCTTGGTGAAATAGTTTGCAGCTATGTACCCAATGCTCATGAACATGGGCCCACGGTACTGACACGGGAATATTCCGCTTGGTTCCTGCAATAACTCAAGAAAATCAGCTCCTTTCTTTGCAGCCTCAAATGGCGAGCTAACATCCGACTCCTCCGGTGCTGGGAAGCTATCTAGCTCTAGCAAATACTTAACATAGTCCGATTGGGGATTTTTTTCACTTTCTTCAGTACTCAAGTAGTGCCATGTCTCTCTACCCAATTCATCAGTTACAAGTCTCCAACGATGCGGATCTGTTTGATCGACTCCCAATTCTTCAGAATAGTACATCACGATAATACAGCCGTCTTTTATGTCTGTATGGATCAATTATGTCTTGTATATCTGGAAGTATTTAGTACCCGTATAACGGTTCTGCTGCTAAACGAAGCAATGTAGTCAGGTGACCTTCTGGTAAGAAAGCGAAACACCCAAACAACAAAAGATAAACACCCAGACACCAGGTACATCACACAAAACAGCAATTACGCGACATTGGTGCATTTAATGACGACATTAAGTTTCTTTTTTTTGTTACATCATCTCAGAGCACGCACGACTAGATGCTCGATTCAAACTAAGTTACACAAAACACGGATCGCTCAAAATTCGTCTCGAGGCAAAAATTGATGGGGTCGTGCACATGACCATTAGTATACTCATCTAGAAAAAACTTATTGCAGAAGGCTTTCAGTGTATGTTGTGGTGAAAGCAGGCTGTTTAGTAGTTGATTGAATATTGAATCAGTTCTACATATTGGTACTAGTTGATTCATAGGTAATTAGCATATTAGTATGGGCAAAAGAAAGTTGGAAGAAGCGAAAGCTAACGACAAGGTCGACGCACAAAGCGTTAGCGGCAGATTTGGTGATGAAGTAGAAGGCGAACCGGAAGCAGTGAAAAATGGAGCGAATAATAGCGAAAATAGTGAGGACGACGACGAAGACGACGGAGATGATGACGAAGAAGAAGAGGAAGACAAAAGCCAGAAACATTCGCATCCACCAAGCAAGAAACAGAAGAAAGCATTATCGGCTCAAGAAGTGCAAGTGGCACGAGAAACGGCGGAACTTTTCAAGTCGAATATCTTTAAATTGCAAATAGACGAGTTGGTGAAGGAAGTGAAGTTGAAGGACAGCCATGTAACAAAGATTGAGAAGGTTTTGCACCGATTGCACGATTTCATAAATAAAATACCACCGATTGAAAATTTAACGTTGCACCAAGCTGAAAACCACTTTAACTCGAAGAAGTTAGTCATTCCATTCCCAGACCCTAAGCCAACCAAGGTGAATTATACATTTTCGTACTTGGCACCAGAAGATGTGTCGTTAGTTGGATCGTTTGGATTAAAAACAGGAATAAGTCAAGCAGACGGTATGTCGATTGATATTGCGTTAACAATGCCAAGTGAATTATTTCAACCAAAAGACTATTTAAACTATAGAGCATTATACAAGAGAGCGTTCTATTTGGCATATGTCGCTGATAACTTGATTCCGTTGTCGAAGAAAAACAATTTACCCATGAAGATCACCTACCAATTTTTGAACGACGATATTTTGTGTCCTGTATTGAAGTTGGAAAGTATTAAGACCGATAATCAGGACGATTTAAGTTTCCATAAGACCAAGTTTACAATTAATATAATAGCAGGATTCCCGTTTGGCGTATTTGACGCTAAGAAATTATTACCGGATAAGAACTGTATTAGAGTCCAAGCTGAATCAAAAGACCTCCCACCAACACCTATATACAATTCTTCTATACTCTCACTGACTTCATATGATTACTATTTAAAATTCTTGTACACTAGCAGGAAGTCAACAGAAGCATTTAAGGATGCTTGTATATTAGGAAGATTATGGTTGCAACAGAGAAACATGGGTTCGGCTGTGAATAAAGGTGGATTTGGTCATTTTGAATTCGCTATATTGATGAGTGCATTATTGAATGGTGGTGGGGTTAATGGTAATAAGATTTTGTTACATGGATTTTCGTCATATCAATTATTCAAAGGTACTATAAAATATTTAGCTACTATGGACTTATCGACAGGATACCTTTCTTTTTCAAGTCAAATCGGTGAAGATGTTACCTCGAAGTACAACCCTGAAGCTGGGTTTAATGTTCCAACTATATTCGATAAAAATGTTAAATTAAATATACTATGGAAAATGACTAAATCATCGTATCAAACTTTGCAGATTCAAGCGATGGACACCCTTCATTTACTTAACGATGTGGTTAAAGATAGATTCGATCCTATTTTGTTACAAAAGACATCCTTTGATCAAATGAAGTATGACATTGTTTTGAACTTATCCATTCCTGATGATTTGTACGATTCATTCGGTCCATTGGAAAAAATATCATTCATTAGTTTTGATAATTTCTTGAAACACAAATTGTACCTAATTTTAAAGAATGCCTTAGGAGAAAGAATTTCTGACTTACACATAAGAAACGAAAAATTCAGTAATATTTTCCCAATTAATAAAAGAAAACCTTCGAATATTAATAATAACTATATTATTGGCCTTCAATTGAATCCAGATGAATGTGAAAAGTTGGTTAGTAAAGGACCAAATAATGATGATGAAGCGTTGGGCTTGAAGTTCAGGTCGTTTTGGGGTTCAAAAGCTTCGTTGAGAAGATTCAAAGATGGTACTATTCAGCACTGTGTTGTTTGGACAGCAAAAGCTAACGAGCCGATTGTTTTGTCAATTATTAAATATTCGCTTGACTTGCATTTACATTCAGATATCTCACAGCACTTGGTTTTCGAAGCTTCTGGTTTCAATAATAGATTACCTACTCCATTGTTGCCATCAGCATCAAACCAGCTGATTACATCTTTGTCAAGTTTCACTAATTTAAAGAACTCATTCGAGGGCTTATCAAAGATTTTGAGTAATCTTGATTTACCACTTAACATTAAGGCGTTATTGCCCGCGTCGACAAGCTTAAGATACTCATCTTTATTGCAACCTGTTCCATTTGCATTGGCAAACCCTGATTTTTGGAATGAAGTTGTGTTACAGTTTGAAACTTCGACTAGATGGCCAGATGAAATCAGTGCTTTGGAAAATACGAAGACTGCCTTTTTATTGAAAATTCTTGAAATATTAAATCAAGAAACCGCATATAAGTCGTTTATAACTAGAGATGATTCAATTCTGTTTAATGAATCCATAAGTCTCTTGAATATTTTGACGCCTGAAGGATATGGTTTCAGAATAAGAGTGCTTACTGAAAGAGATGAAGTCTTATATTTAAGAGCTGTTAACAATGCTGACAAACAAAAGGCCTTATTACAAGATGTGTACTTGGAATTTAACCTGAAATATTTAGGTGTTGTCAAGCATACAAGAACTGTCAGTACTTTAGCTCACCATTTCCCGTTTTATTCACCAACGGTAAGGTTATTTAAACAGTGGTTAGATTCACAATTATTGATGCATCATTTTACAGATGAGCTTATAGAGTTGATTGCATTGAAGCCTTTCGTTGATCCTGCTCCCTATTCTGTACCACACTCCGTAGGAAATGGATTTTTGCAGATTTTGAATTTCTTATCCAACTGGAACTGGAAAGAAGATTCATTAATATTGGACTTGGCAAAGAGCTCTAATGACGTGGAAGAAGAGTTGACAATAAAATTAAGTGATAGATTGACCATACAAGCACATCAAGTAATCGAACAAAATTTCGAAAAGATTAGAAAGACTGATCCATCGGGTATCAGGACGCAGTTGTTCATTGGATCAAAGGATGATCCATCTGGTATTTTATGGTCGAATAATTTGACTTTACCAATAGCTAGTAGATTAACAGGATTAGCCCGTGTTGCCATTCTGTTACTCAAGACCGAAGGATTTTCGGATTCAAATATTGACATGCTTTTTACTCCTGCCTTAAAAGATTATGATTTCGTTGTCAAAGTTAAAACCAACAATTTGACTACTTCGTCTGGTATTTTACCGTCAAATACGTTCAAGAATTTGGTAGGAACTGAAACTTCCTTCCCAGATGATGTCACTACTAAATATGATTTAGTTCAAGCATATGTTGATGATCTTAACAGAAAATTCGGTAACGTTATTCTTTTTTCTACCAGAAAGTTTACTGGCTTAAATGAAGATGGGTCGAATGTTATTAGTGGGATATTTGTTCCAAACAGCATATCTAAGAAGAAATTTAGAGCTAATTTGGGAATCAATGTCAAGCCTGTTGAAGATCAAAAAGAAGATGTTATTGTCAATAAGGATGCCATTTTCAATCAAATTACATTATTAGGTGGTGATTTAGTTCAGTCCATCAAAATTAAGAAATAAGCAATAGTTCAGAGCTATTCGTATATTAATAATCAATCGTCTATATACATGTATATATATATATTAATTTTCATATAAAAGATTGTGAATTATTCCTATTTGTAGCGTTTACCGGTTTTCGCAACAAGGTATGGTGATAATATGGTGATCTGTTGAGGTTTACATTGTGAAATGGAGACATACACTTTCTCCACTTGTTCATATAACCGATGCATTGTTAAATGCCGTTCGGTTTGTTAGCGCAATTACTTAAAACATATTACAGGATGGTTTCAAGTGTGCTATCCATGAGTCATGGAGAATATATAAATGAAAAATATGCCGGTATTCCTAACTCGAGCAAGTGTTTTTACATTTTAACAACAATTGAAATAACATGTCAGATACAAAAGTCGAAGATCTTTCAAACTCGCATCTTATGCATAGATCCTTAAGAGAGGAACCAGACGTTGTAAAAAATGCTAAAGGTTCCTATATATTTCTTCAGAACGGCCAGAAGGTGTTTGACGGATGTGGAGGAGCAGCAGTTATTGCTGTTGGCCATGGTAATTCTGAAGTTATCGAAGCAGTTTCAAAGCAGTTATCGGTAGTGTCATACGTGCACACATTTGAATATACAACACCCGTCGCTGAGGAGTTAGCCAACATCTTGTTAAAGAATTATAATGGAAAGATTGCTAAAGTATACTTCGCGAATTCCGGTAGTGAAGCAAATGAGGCTGCAGTTAAGGTTGTAGTACAATATTTTTATGAACAAGGGAAAACTTCTAAAACTCAATTCATCTCTAGGAAACAATCATACCATGGTAACTGTTTAGCTGGTATGTCTTTATCGGGCCATGTTTTGAGAAGAAAGCCATTTGAGGACTTGGTTAGTGATAAATTTCACAAGGTGAGTGAAGCAAATGAATACAGAGGGAAGAGAAACGGCGAGACAACCGGTGAATATGTCGAAAGACTTGCTAACGAATTGGAAGAAAAGATTTTAGAAGTTGGACCTGACAATATTGCAGGGTTTTTTGCGGAGACAATAGTGGGTGCAACCACCGGCTGCGTTACACCTCCAAAGGGCTATTTCAAAGCAATTCAGAAGGTCTGTGAGAAGTATGATGTTCTCCTAATTACCGATGAAATTATGTGTGGTTCTGGAAGAACAGGAACTTTTTTTGCTTGGGAGCAGGAAGATTTTGTACCTGACATAACTACAAGTGGTAAGGCACTTGGCGGGGGCTATTCACCACTCTCAGCAGTGTTTATGAACCAAAAGGTTGTAGATGTGCTTCTGAATGGTTCTGCTTCCTTTAACAATGGTCACACATTCCAATGCTATCCATTATCGTGTGCCGCCGGCATTGCGGTACAAAAAATTATACAGAGAGATAATTTGCTTCAAAATGTAAAGCAAATGGGTGATTACCTTGGCCAAGCACTTGTGCAAGAATTGAAGGATATTAAAATCGTAGGAAATATTCGTGGCCGTGGGTTGTTCTGGGGTGTAGAGTTTGTGAAAAATAAGCTGACGAAAGACGCTATAGACCCTCGCATCCGTATTGGTCAACAAATCCAACATAATGCTTTGGAGAAGGGATTAGCTGTCTACCCGGGATTTGGAACCATTGACGGGCTATCTGGAGACCACATTTTAATTGCACCTTCTTACGATATCACACAAGACCAAGTCGATGCCATGGTCCAACAAGTGGCTGCAAGTATTATCGAAATGGAACAAAAATTTGTTGTTTAAATATGTTGCTTGTAGTCTATTCTACAAAAGTAATAATAAATGTTGATTTAAATGTAATATATATGTTGATTTGAATGTAATATATATCTCCATAAGGTTAAGAGTCAGTATCTGGCCTATTGTTGTTTAACCTTATCATAGTTGGCTCTTGCTCGTAGCCTTTTTCTCGAAGATATTCCAACATCATTTGATTCATGCTTTCATTGGAAAGACGAATTTGAGAAGTACTATGCGATTGAAGAGTCGACGAAGGTGATAATTGTGTAGTACTATCTATTTGGGGTTGAACTTGTTCATGATTAAAATCGATTGTGGGATGCTCATTGTTACAGGAATTGGGATCTTCTTCCATAATTACTGATACTTGTGGTGATATGATTGCACGAAGAAGTTTATATAGCTATAATAATAACACAATTCTAAGTAATCTTGAATAGTGTTCTTGAAAGTGGTTTGATATTTGGTCTATATATAGTCACGAGATTGAGGTCTCGAATTCTAGCCACCTTTTGATAATAGTGTTACTCTTCATTTACATTACTAATTCCAAATCAATTTGATACTATATATTTGCTATATTCATTCAACACATGTGCCATCCTAGTTACGACCTTTAAAACCATGTCAAATATAAATTTAGAAAACCAACTACGAGATTTTCAATCGCAAAGGTTTCCAACGGACGAACAAACAATTATAAATAATGCTTCAGTGCTATATAAGCGCAAGAAGTACTTTCTTCAAGATCTACGTTCGTCGGTGAAGTTCGTGGGGTTCATATTACTAGGAATTGTTTATTTGCGGGATTTGTCGATGTTGCGATTGGGGATCAGGGCATTCACACAGTATTCGATTTCAAACCCATATCCCACTCCAAGTATGAGGGTATCAATATCAGAAGAAAGCAAAAAGGCATTAACCAAGTTCCTACTTATTGGAATATTTTCAGGGAATTCATTTTGCTTCCTCATGCATTTGCTATTCGGGAGCTACCAAGGTTCAGACGCATCAAACGGTTTCTTGCATGGTGGAATGACGATTCAGTTTATTGGAGAAAGGGTGCCATACTCTACTTTAGAGCTAATTTTGCTTGATATTGGGATACTCTTTGTCCAAGTGGTCTACCACAGTTTGATGTGCATGACGGACGATTCCAAAGTGCTCGAGATAAAACATCCACATACAAATGCAGAGAATAGTATTGACAGTATCGACGACAACGAGTTAGAAGGCGATGGATATAACGGAAACGTGCAACTTCTAACCATTGACGTTCTAGGGAACATCCGTAAAGTCATGATGTTCAAAGAGCGATTTCAAATACAGGCCTCCACGTTTTCAGAACAGGCACCTGAGCAAGCTCCGGAGCCGATTCCACAACAGCCTATGCCTGGATCATTCGTGTAACATTAGCAGCAAGATATAACTACATATGCCGCCATTAGAGCATTTAGATTACCTATAAACACCATTTGCATTCATCTATCGTATCGAGTAACCAAAAAGCTCTCTCACGTGATCCCTCAGGATTTTTCAAAATTTGGAGGAAAAAAATTTACCTCGATGCCTTTACAAATCAGTACCATTTGTTTGAAGCTTAATTGCCTATATTCAAAGTATAAGATTGAAGATGTCCGATAATATTGTTGGTATTGAATATAACAGGGTTACCAATACATCCTCTACCGATTTTCCAGGTCACAGCTCCAATGGTGACTTTGCTTGGGATATAGAAAAGTTTAAAGATTCGTTCGAGATTAACATTTCACATCTTTCTGAAAGATCGTCAACTTTTGACCTAATCCACATAGATACTTCAATTGCAAATGCGTTTCGTCGTATTATGATTTCAGAAGTACCTTCTGTTGCTGCTGAAACCGTTTATGTTTTCAACAATACGTCAGTTATCCAAGATGAAGTATTAGCACACAGAATTGGATTAATTCCATTAAAGGTAGACCCAGACACTCTTACTTGGATTGACACATCTCAGGATGAGAAAGATCGTTTTACCGATGAAAATACTATTGTTTTGTCGTTAGATATTAGTTGTACCAAGAATCCGCACCCACCTCAAGGTTCTACTGATCCAAAAGAGTTATACAGAAATTCACACGTTTATGCCAAAGACTTAAAGTTTGAACCTCAAGGTCGTCAACTTGAGATTTTCAAGAACAATCCTGTTGTTGCAGCTGACCCTGATATTTTGTTAGCCAAGTTAAGACCAAATCAAGAAATTTCTTTAAGGGCACATTGTATATTGGGTGTTGGAAGCGATCATGCTAAATTCTCACCAGTAGCTACTGCATCATACAGATTGATGCCAGTTATTACCATAACTGAGCCAATCAAGGGCGAAGCCGCAAAACGTTTCCAAAAGTGTTTCCCATCAGGCGTCATTGATATCAACAAGAACGGTGAGGCCGTTGTCAAGGACTCTAGAAAGGATACGGTATCAAGAGAAGTCTTAAGACACGAAGAGTTCAACGGTAAGGTCAAATTAGGTAGAAAGAGAGACCATTTCATTTTCAACGTTGAATCTACCGGTGCCATGTCACCAGAAGAAATCTTCTTCAAGTCAGTTAGAGTATTAAAGAACAAGGCTGAATACTTAAGAAATTGTCCAATTGGCCAATAGATCGTTCGGTTTCTCAATTAGACATTTTGTATAATATTAAATAATTCAATAAAATAGGTTTGCATCAATTATTCTGATTCATACGGTAGTGCACTGATTTGAATACAAGGGAGGAACATTTTAATATGAAGCTACTTTTATTTATATGATTGGATATACATAGGCATATACATGAACCAAATAACGGTTCTACAGCTGTAAATCGTATACCGAATTATATTACACTTAGACCAATTGTTTTCTAGAACCCTTGAAAAACAATTGAACAACAGTGATTTGCAAGAAGGCCATTCCTACCATTAATAATACTTCGAATATAGAGAAGTAATAGATTCTTGATTCAGTAGATTTAACAGTAGCTTGGTTTCTGTTATTTCTAGTCTTGTAGTATTGCAAAGTTCTTAAAAGACCGTCCAATTGTTGGTCGATGTTGTCAACAGTTGTTTGCATGCTTTCGACATGAGCAAGTGGCTTGGCATTTGGTTGATCTGGCATGTCAGCTCTATATTCAGTGTTTTCATCCTTGAATTGAATTTCAAAGTCAACAACTTTTTCAGCAAATGTGGACATGCCATTAGCGAAGCAGAATTCGTATTCTCCAACAATGTCCGCGTTGATAGCAAAATCCCCTTGTCTTTGCTTTTCATCACTGTGAATGATTTCACCTCTTGGGTTCTTGATAGTGTAGTCAACGTCGAATGATCCGCCACTTTGCACGGCAAAGTAATAACTAATTGGAGTTCTAGGCTTTTCAGTGAACACATAGAAACACGCCTTTTCTTGTGCTCCTAAAGTAAACGTCAAAGCTGATCCAGCAATTAACTGAATGGTAGCGAAAAAAGCTGCTATTATTGCGAATTGCATTGTTGCTTAACCAGTTAATGAAGTATAACTAACTATTCCAGGAATTGCTTTAGTTGTTCATTGAATCGAAAGCGTCTATTTAGAAAAATTCAGACGTGTCGTTTCGGGGGTGGTGGAAACGTGCATGTACCGAAAAAAGCTAGACATATAGCTACAATATGGAAAACTATACATACAAGTGGATTGACTATATACAATATATATGACTAATTATTAGTTTAGATGTAGATCATTTTACCCTCACCATCGAAACCGATGGCTCTATCCTTCTTTCTATCTCTTCTAGATGCACCGTAACGGAAACCGACATCACCAGATTTGGATTGAGTGAATTTGAAGACATTCTTGTCGCCTTCCTTTTCAGAACCGACAACTACCTTGTTGAGCTTGATCTTGGCCGAATCTTCGTCGGAAGTGAATTCGGTTAATTTGTTCAAGGTCTCTTGGGCCGGTTCCAAGTCAAACAATTTCGCAGCATCTATCGGACCGAATGGCTCGGATTCAGAGATAGTTAAGAAACGTTGGTGTAAAGTTCTTTGTGGGGTTGGAATTTCAGTCAAGTTTTCGGCTTCGACTGGTGGTTCGTATAATGGGAACATACGATACATGACGTCGGAGAACTTGTTCAAGTCTTCGCTTATAGAGTTCTATATGGGGTTAGTATTCCTATTGTACGAGAAACAATAAAGTGTAGGGAGAATAAACGTATTTGTATCAGGAATTGAATGCTGTTTTAACCATGTTGAGGTCTTCAAGACTAATCGAATTTTTAAACTGTTTCATCATTGTAATACGTTTTGTCGCCTAAAATTAGTTATACATACTTCTTCTTTCCATTGCTGTTCAATTTGTTGTAATTTGACAATAGCTTCCACCCTGGTTATTTTAATCCCATACTTGTGGGCAACTTCCTGACTGTGCATTCCATTTTGAGTGACTTCTTCGTAGATTTTGGTTTTCAAGTCGTTGGGGATAACGGATGCGGTCCTGCAATGAGGATTAAATGGAAATGGTTGTAATGACGGGTTTCTCTTTGTGTCGTTGTATCTTCTATCGTCCGATATTTGTGGCTTGCTTGGATCAACAATCGTATTACCATCTGGCACTACATAACGTGGCTTGTGATCTTGGGGTGGGTAGTAATATTTGTTTCTGTAGTATTCACCTCTCGCATTGACAGGCCCCAACCATCCCTTCAAGTATCTTTGGAAATAACTTGTGTGATCCTTTTTCCTATGAGTTAATGGAGGTACTTGAGGTTTATATGCTTGTGGATATGCTAATTTTCTTTTTAAGAAACGCACTTGTTGAACATTTATACCAATTCTGCCCAATGCTGTGCTAGGGTTAGATGTTGGACGTATCATCTTATACAAATAACAATCTGTTATATATATTCTTACCTTAGACAGAGCTGATATTTTGTTATAATATGTCCAACGAGAGAAATTTTTCACCATCAAATGTCGCGCTAAAAGTCGTGCGAATGGGTCTATTTATAAAAGTCGCCCGACATTGTTATATACACACCAAATCACTATTTACATTTACACCACTTAGATTGGTACTAGAAGTGATGTATTATACCACGATCTACCGGACCAATTTTGCTTGAAATTTGGTCGTAGAAAAGATTAAGGAAGTCGCTGATTGTGTGAAAGCTATGGAGAATCTATATAGCACTTTTAAAAAGTTGAAGGACAGGATATCGCCTAACAAACCTAAGGGCAGCGCGTCGGGATCTACAATAGAGATGGGTAGGAAAAGGAAGAATCCTAGTAGCGATGATAACCCTTTCAACGATAAATCGAAGAAGGTCAGAAGACGTAGCGATGATTCGGGAATGGGGTACTTTGTATCTAAGCAAGAGGTGATTTCGGAAGAGGGGAAGCTGATGTCACCGTTTATCAGAAGAGAGAATTTATCAAAGAGTCTTAAGACAGAGAATATTTCCAGCAATAATGCAAAACAACTGGGAGAAACTAGAGATTTGAGCGCGGTTAGTGTGAGGCATGAGAAGTTCGAGAATCCAATTGAAAAACGGGTTAGTGGAACTGAGACAACCAGTCAAAGTAATGGAGATGAGACCAGCGAACCGGTGGAGGTAAATACAGAAGATGATGAAGAGGAGGAAGATGATAAAGTGCCTCTAGAAGTGTTGGAGGAAATGAACAAATTGGAAGAATGTTTTCCAATTTTGTCGTCAAATTACCGTTTGATTGATAAAATTGGAGAAGGAACATTTTCAACAGTCTATAAGGCAGAATCCTTGAACGGTACTATTAAATTGGGATCGGATATTTGGAAATCCCCTCCTTTAAAGAGAAATAGAAGCAAAATAAAGCCAATCAAAAGAAAAAATCCCATAGTTGCATTGAAACAAATATATGTAACGTCATCGCCAAATAGAATTTTTAATGAGCTTAATTTGCTTTATATTTTGACAGGTAATTCACATGTCGCTCCATTATTGGATGTTTTAAGATACCAAGATCAAGTACTTGCCATATTACCCTACTACCAACATGCCGATTTCCGCGATTTTTATAGAGATCTTCCTATCAAAGGCATAAAGAAGTATTTATGGGAGCTTTTTCAAGCATTAGATTTTGTACACGACAAGGAAGTCATTCATAGAGATTTAAAGCCAACTAATTTCCTTTATGATCCTTTTAAGGGACGAGGCGTTTTGGTTGATTTTGGATTAGCTGAGAAAATGGAACCAAGTACCGCATCAAGAAATTCTAACGTATGTTCATGCGTATCTAAAGAAAAACCTGCTGTTAGCAGAACACACGCCAAAAGATTAAATGTTAAGGCTGCTTATCCAAAGCAGGATCAACGACCACCAAGGAGAGCAAATAGAGCAGGTACACGTGGATTCAGAGCACCAGAAGTTTTATTCAAATGTACAAACCAGTCAACCAAGCTTGATATATGGTCAGCAGGTATAATTGGATTCTCCCTTATTAGTAGAAGGTTTCCATTGTTTAACTCTCCAGACGATACTGATGCGCTATTTGAACTAGCCATTATGTTTGGAATCGATAAGCTTCAGAAATGCGCAGAGCTTCATGGTTGTGGTTTGGAAATTTCGTTAGTGAGAAACGTAAACAAGACATACTCTAACTTGATTCACGTATTATCGGAATTTTTGAATTTTGAGAGTATGCTGGACGCGATACCGAAGGACAGCGTAATCTATGATACCCTTGCTGTATTGAGCCAGAAGGGCGACTCATTTGAGAAACCAGTCTTTCAAAATGATGATACTGAGGAATCATTTATGAAGCGCATGGAGAATTATAATGATCATAAGCATTTATTGCAACTACTATATGGATGCTTCCATATGGATCCTAGTAAGAGATTGTCATCAAAGGGAATTCTAAAATTGCCGTTCTTTAATGAATTAATAAATAGTCAGGATGACGAAGTAATCCTCTGATTCTTCAAATTTGCATTAGTTATATTTTTATTATACATATGGTACATAGGAAATTTACATATAAATAAGAGTGTTGTTAATTATCGTAATCGTCATAAGTATCATCATCGCCTTCAAACAGGTATTGTCGTGATCTTTTCCGGGAACCAACGATGTGATTAGTTTCATCAGAAATCATCTTGTCGTTGCCTCCCGACGTATGATTCGGCGTGATAAGTGATTTATTCCATTTCTCGTTAAGTTTAGTGATTAGCTTATTCTGGTGCTCTAACGTGGTTATAATAGGCTCGTTTTCAAAGTCTTTTATTTGCGCCTTGAAATTTGGATTAGTATTCTTCAGACCCGATGGGGCTGGTTCAATAAACCTTGCATCCAAATGCTTGCCCATACTATTATTCGAATTCATTAATTCCAACTGTAGGTCTTTGGAATATATCAGTTTTTTCTTCAAATACATCGATTGATGAGTGCGATTAGTTTTATTTACAGACTTTATCTTCTTTGCAATGACTTTGTCGGTTCTATCTGTCTTGTCCGCCAAATCTTTAATTTCCGTGTTTTGATTTGCAGCATCCAACATTAGTGGTGGAGGAGTAATATCTGATTTAACATCTGTGGCTGGTTTGATGTTGTCGATGTGTCTATTGTTGGGGTAGGGATTTACATGGATGTTGCTATAATTATTGTGTTTCCCGTTCTTATTGACATTAATACCATATTGAAACTCAAAATCCTTCTTAAGATAAGACTTGGGGGGTGGTTCTGAATAATACCTACCCTTTTTATTACACTGGCAGTTAAATATCGACTTTTGTTCCACCTCCGAATCCTCGTCCGAAGTTATGGCAGTACTACTGGCTTTGGGTACAATTTTGTGATTTAGACGAAGTGTCTCCTTCGACCCACCCGATGGAGGCGTCATGCCCCCATTATTTCCCACCATTGAGCTGAGACTCACATTGCTATCATTTCGAGGTGGCCGCGTAAACCCGTCATCAAACGACACTATCGAATTCCGTGGAGACTCAAGACTTATAATTGATAAGCTCCTGTTATGATTAGAATGTGCTGAGCAGTTCGAGTTCATTGACGATGACCGTGGCTTGTGAGCAATAATTGTAGCAGGCTTGATAACAAGAGGACTCGTCGACCCAGAAACTGGCTCACTCGAGCTTAGTGGGCTGTGACGTTCACTTAGAAATCCAGAAGAATGTGACATTCTTTTTGATTACCACAACTAATCTAGTACTCTGGTATCAGTATTGTTTCCGCTATAGATCTAAAGTATATGAATTAGTCCGTCCGCTTATTCCTATTATCTCATTTATCGTTCAGTTTTGCAATTTTTATTTATGTCCCATCGACTCGTGCGAAGACTTTTCTACCTATTTTTTTCACTTTTTTTCACCCATTAATTATTCATGATCCTGGGGTGTTTTTTACTTGCTAGAAGCTCTGGATTAGGCTCTGGATAAATTGACATTACCTAGTATATTAGGATTTATATAAGCACAAATCATTGAACGTATATATACATGTAAACCAAATAATTCGATGAATTGAGCGTGACTCATTGTTCTAGATACGATATCTAAAAGCCACACGCGAAATTACTAGATAATGATTGCTTGATAAGCACTTCTTATTCATTCACGTCTATTTGAGTGGTTCGATAAACAATATCGTAAGCCAGATCAAGCTCGGTAAAGCGTAGATAATTCATAAAAAAAAATTTTTTGGATTAGTATCGAAATTGGGATTTTATTGGGATTTTGATAAAAGCTTAGAGTGATTTGGGAAATTAGACTGTTGTGAAAATTAGCAATGAGTTCGTTCAATAATCCATTTTCTCAGTCGCAGAACAATCGTGCGGTAGGGGAGTTGGAAGAAAGCCATGTGCGAGATGGTGGCCGACGCAAATACTCTATTTCAGAGGCATTGGGCCATTCAGTGAGCAGTCAAGGTGGGACATTTGAGTTTGGGGGACGAAGTTACGTTGGGGGAAATACGGGTGTGACAAATCGAAGTAGCATGAATACGATGTTTTCACCAGCAGTACATTCGGGGTTGCTGATACATGAACAGACGGCAAATTTGGCCAGTATTGGGGTCACAGATGATGCTGGTGCCTCGAAAATCAGTAATAAGAATTCATACGCTGGTAATCTGATCAGTGAAGAGATGAGCTCAGAGACCGATGGGGATTTTATGAGTTCATCTCCGCCAATTCCAATATTGGGATCGATGCCAGGGGCCACAGGACAGTTTCTGGGAAGAATATACAATGAGCCAGAGGCCCCAACGGAAGTCGAACCGTTGTTGATAAATACGTCAAAAAAATTATACACCGATGAATATGCTACAAGTTCCAATAATATGGAACCCAATGACTTGGAAATCGGCGAGTTGGGTTATAAGTCCATTAGGGAACAGAAATTGACTCCGGAACCTAGTAAGATTCATAGATGGCTCGTTCAACCACTCAATTATATTCCTGCAGTGTTTCTCGGAACACTTTTAAATATATTGGACGGTTTATCTTATGGTATGATTATGTTTCCTATAAGTGAATCGATATTTTCGTCATTGGCCCCGACCGGGTTGTCCATGTTCTATGTTTCATGCATTGTCTCTCAGTTGGTATTTTCTTTGGGTGGCTCTGCGTTTAGAGCTGGTATTGGGTCAGAAATGATCGAGGTCACACCATTTTTCCACGTTATGGCATTGTCTATATTAGAAGAGATCGGTTCGCCCGATGAAAATAAAGATGCCATCATATCTACAACTATAGTGACTTATGCAGTCCTGTCCATTCTTACAGGATTAGTCTTCTTTTTATTAGGTAAGTTGAAATTGGGTTCTCTAGTGGGATTTTTTCCCAGGCATATTCTAGTGGGTTGTATTGGTGGTGTTGGTTACTTCTTAGTCGTTACTGGTATTGAGGTCTCGTCTAGGTTGGAAGGAGGTATTTATTACAACGCGCCTACATTCTTCTACTTGTTCAACAACTACATTACTTTATTGGAGTGGGTTGTTCCTTTGGTTTTGGCTTTAATCCTAGTTGTTATGCAAACTAGGTTCCATAATAGTTTGTTGGTCCCATTATTTTTTATTGGAGTCTTCATTCTTTTTCATCTTGTGGTGTTCTTTATTCCTGGATGGAGTTTAGAGTCCGCTAGAGAATATGGTTGGATTTTTCCCGAGGTTGAAGCAAACGAACCTTGGTACAGCTTCTATGATCTATACAACTTCGGATTAGTAGATTGGTGGTGTATAACCAAGCAACTCCCAACCATGTTAGCATTAACTTTCTTCGGAATATTACATATTCCAATCAATGTTCCAGCATTAGCTGCTACTGTAAAAATGGACCAGATTGATGTTGATCGAGAATTGGTTGCTCATGGATACTCAAATGTATTATCTGGGTTGTTAGGTTCAATTCAAAATTATTTGGTTTACACCAATTCCGTTTTATTCATAAGAGCAGGTGCAGACGCCAGATTAGCGGGTGTTTTACTTGCGATTGCTACTGGTGCAGTTATGGTTGTTGGTCCTGTGTTAATTGGATATATTCCTGTTTGTGTTGTTGGTGCTTTAATCTATTTATTGGGTTATGAATTATTAAAAGAAGCCTTATATGACACATGGGGTAAGTTGAGGAAACTCGAATATTCCACCATATTTATTATTGTTGTTGTAATGGGTGCTTGGGATTTTGTATACGGTGTTCTTGTGGGGATTTTGCTAGCTTGTTTATTATTTGTTATCGAAGCAGCAAGAAGACCTGTGGTCAAAGGAATATATACTGGAGTAGTAGCAAGGTCAACGGTGCTTCGGCACCCCAAACAACAAGAGTTTTTAAAAGATGTTGGAGATCAAATTTGTGTTCTCAAGTTGCAGGGAACTGTATTCTTTGGATCTATTGGAGGAGTTGAGGGTGTGATTCGATTAAGACTTGAAAACGACAAATTCAAGGTAAATCCAATCAAGTTCCTCATATTAGATATGAAAGGAGTTGCGTCTGTTGACTTCTCTGCCGCTGAGGGATTTAGAAGGATGTTAAATTTGTCGAATGAATTTGGTGTTCAATTAATCATTTCATCTGTGACTGATGAGGATGATATAGTAAAGGCATTGAGGGATGCAGGATTGTGGGATACTGAAAATGACCTTGATATTCAACTTTTCAGTACCTTGAATTATGCATTAGAATGGTGTGAAAATTGTTTTTTGTCCACATACAAATTGATCAGGAAGAAGCAAAAGGTCACACCAATCAGCCAAGCAATAGGCACGCATTTTAATTCAATTGCTTCCATGGGGTCACCAGATACAGATAAGGTATTACCAAATCACTCAATGGATATTAAATATGCTACTCCTCGTACCACCCAGGTATATAAGGCAGCAGAAAGAACCGTAAACTACGAGCAAGGCATTCATAATCGCTTCTCTGCTGCCAATGATTCTTTAAGAAAAAAACCATTGCCATTAATTATGATCACATTTTCAGGGTTGTCAGACAAGAACGAAAAATTTTGGTCGAAATTGACTCCCTATTTCATCAAAGAGCAGATCCCCGAAGATTACACCTTTTATGATACGTCCAAAGACCGTCCTGCATTTTTTATTGTGGAATCTGGATTAATAAGGTCTGTTTGTAACTTTGAAACCGATGGCCGTGAATTACGTTCCAGTATTTTACCAATGACTGCATTTGGTGATTTATACGACAAGGGTTCCAATTACAGAGATATGGTGTACACTACAGTCAATGATACGTTAACTTGGAAACTTTCTGAGACCAAATTAAACGAGTTTTTGAAGACCCCGGACGGATACACCGTTTACAATGAACTATTAAAGATCCAGGCGAAATTAGTCAGAGAAAGGTTTGATACTATGACTGCAAATCTTGTCATCTCAGCATAAGCATAAATAGTCATGGAAAATAACACATTATTTATTCTTTTTATTTAATTCTTACCATTAGGTTTATACAGTTTTGTGCATCGTCTCAATGTACTATCCGTACGTTTATAAGTAATGTAGGGCCTATATTAATGTACTTTAATCGTCCATATTTAAACCGTATTATGTCTGAAGACCATTCGACCTGTATATAATCATTATTACCAAATGACAGATTATTGATAAAAGGGTTACCAATAAGTCTTTAATTGCTTAACGTCCCTTAATTCTTGTACTAGATTTTAAACGTTTTGCATAACAAATAGATAAGTCATCGCTATATATTACCTGCTATTATGGTTGCCTACAAGAATATTGCTTTGTTGGCTTTAACCTTCACAATCGCTTCAGTTGAATCGTTATCAATTGTAGGGGCTCGTCCATACACTGATAAAGCATTATCAGTGTTTGACATCAAGACTCCTAATTTGCAAGGCGAAAAACCTGAAATTATTTTGACTTTTGCTGGTCCTGACGATAAACCTGTTCCAGGAGATTCTCCTATCGTTCAATGTGAAGCATCCGTGCCACAACTTTTGAATTTGCAAAGTGTAGTCATTGACCCAAATCCACCACTTAGGGGAGAAAACTTGACATTCATTGCTAAGGGGGTTTTATCCCAGGATATTGAAGATGGTGCCTACGTTGAAGTTGATGTTAGATACGGCTTCATTAAATTGCTCCACCAAACCTTCGATTTGTGCGAGGAAATCACCAAGATTGACTTGGAATGTCCTATTTCAAAGGGCCAGCAAGTCATCGAGAAGAAGGTTGAAATCCCGGCTGAAGTCCCTCCTGGAAAGTATATTGTTAATGCGAGAGCCTACACGAAAGATGATATCTTTATCACTTGCTTATCAGCCATGGTGGAATTCCCTCCTCTTTGATCAGAGTTAATATTATAGAAAGTTGCTAGAATTGTTTTCATGCATACATATATAGCTTGGTTTTGTTCTGCTTTCGCTCCATCTCTGATTTATTTATTTCTGTTTGATTTATCCGAAATGCTTATGTTTACGGTTTTAGATATAATTATTCTAAATGCATGCTCAATTGAATACATTGTAGATATTGAATTTACAACCGTACAGTATACTAAATATATTTAATATTAATGAGCAGTACAGTGTATATTACTCGAGAACCTTTGCAAATATAAATTGGGATTCTTTGTCTTGGCCGTTGCTCGTAAATTATATTTCTTAGCTTTTGCGAAATCAAATTTTCACTATTCATAAAGAGGATTCCTTTTGATTATCCAAAGTATATAAGGCTTGAGTCGAGGGGTTATCATGATTGAAGTTTCGGACTATTTCTCGATTGAGATATTCTTCATAATATTAAGAGAAACATTAGAGACTGCTATTATTATATCAGTTTTGCTTTCATTTATAAACCAAAGATCACATTCCCATGACGGTTCAGAGAATACAATAAGTTCTCAAAGACATGCTGAAGAACAAAGAAAACTTAGGCTTCAAGTGTGGACGGGTGCTGTCATTGGATTATTAATATGTCTCGTTATAGGGTTGGTCTTTATTACATGTTTTTACATTATTGGTAAGGATTATTGGTCGTACACTGAAAGATTATGGGAAGGAATATTTTCGTTGATATCGTGTGTAATTATCACCGTAATGGGCATTGGATTATTAAGAATTAATAAGGTTATGAAAGTTAAATGGTGGATTAAATTGGGCTCGGCTTATAACACTGAAGACAATAGCGGACGTCTTGAAACTAGCGAAGGGAGTGATGATATAGATAGTGAATTATCTGGCTCTCCAGTAAGTCAAGAAAGGCCTCGAAAACATTCATTTACAAAGAAATATTTCTTGGCAATATTACCATTGATCACTACATTAAGAGAGGGTTTGGAAGCTGTGGTGTTTGTAGGTGGAATTGGTATGTCACAACCTCCAACATCAATTCCGCTTTCGATTATAGGAGGTATTTTAGTAGGTTCAGCCATTGGTTACATGTTGTATAAAGGTGGTAACAAGATGTCGTTACAGTATTTCTTGATTTTCCTGACATGTTTCTTGTATATTGTTAGTGCTGGATTAATGAGCAGAGGTGTTTGGTTCATGGAATTGGAAAGATACGTTAGATTATGTGGTGGCTTGGATGTCAGTGAAACAGGAAGTGGTCCTGGATCGTACGATATTGCAAACAGTGTTTGGCATGTCAATTGTTGTAATGGATTAACTGATGGTTGGTGGATGGTCTTGAATGCTATTATTGGATGGACCAACTCCGCAACTTACGGTAGTGTTATCTCTTACTGTACATATTGGCTATTTGTTTCCTTATGGTTGGAGATAAAATTATACGAGGAGAAACAGGGAGTATTACCATTGGTTCCAATTAAATGGCAATTGAAAAGAATAAAGAAGAAAGTCAAATTATACGAAAGCAGACTTAAACATCAACGTGAGTCTCACCAGCAGCATGAGGGGAACACTAACGAATATCATGAGCTAGACAGCAATCCATCTATGGAGATTAATCCTAGAGAAGCTGAGGGTCAATTGTTATTGTCCAATGATTAAGTTCAAGATGTCTCCCTTTTCACAGAACAAAAATTTATATATATATATGTATTTATAATAGTTAATTTCTTGCAGTGATTAATAGATCAACGATCTTTTAAGATCAACAATCAATTCGTCAACCCGGTATTTATTCGTTCCAGACACGGCTAAAACTTCGTCCTACGCAATAACATTGAGATCTAAAACGCGACTTTTTTTATCTACAAAACACTGATTTTTTAGTGACTAAATGCCATAATACTTTAGTTATTGTTCAATACTGAACTATATAGTGTTCCAAATGGATTCAGATCAACCCCATAACGACACTTTATTAGCCACAAATAGGCTACTATCAGATTTAGAAAGGAAATTATCAATAGTGTCTAATACATCCTCGTCATCAAACCAAACCCAACAGTCGCATAGCTCATCAATAATAGTTGATAGAAATTTTTCAGGGATAGGAAAACAAAATATTCAATCCAGTGTACTCGAGTATATCAAGGCAAACGAGGATGAATTTAATCCTAATGAGTTATTTGAAGAGAGACAACATAAATTTTTAACAAAACTTGGCAGGACCTATAATGATGATAAATTTGTATCGACAAGTGACCAGAATAACTACGTTACTAATTTTGACTCTGAAAGTGACGATGTTCATGCAAATAATATAAATGGAAGAAATGGGCAAAACGATGTTAATATTCACAATTTAGAAGAAAAAGAAGAACAATCGCAAAATGGGTCCCATTTTAATGTTACACCAGAAATGAACTACGATGATGAAGACGATACATACGTTGATGAGGGTAATGGCAACGAAAAAATGTTTTTTGACGATGACGACGATGACTTGTTGTTATCCCCGGAACCACCAAGATCCCCTCCGAGGGAAATTGATCCTGATAAAGTATACGGGTTATATGATTTTTCAGGGCCCGATCCACTGCATTGTACATTATCAAGAGATGAACCTGTTTATTTGCTAAACGATGAAGATAACTACTGGTGTTTAATCAAAAAACTTTCAAAAGAAGAAAGAATGGCAGTTATCTCTCTGAGACTGAATGGTAGTGAAGTACCTAGAGATCCTTTTGAGGACGAGGAATATGAAAAAATTGGATTTGTTCCTGCGGAATGTCTTGAAACTTATGGAGAAAGACTCGCTAGACTCAATTGTTTTAAGAATGAAGAACTAGAAAAACTATCTAGAGAGGACCCTGATAATGATGACTCGATTCAAATTTTAGATAATGAGCCATATGGTTTGGATAATAATTCTGCACAATCAAACATGTCACAGGACAGCACACATACCACTGATCTAGAAAGACGAAATACTAAGACTAATAAGTCTGTTACCTTTGAGGATTTAGAAATATTAGATTTCTATGATCAAGAAGAAGATGACGCTAATAAGGAAAATAATGAATTTGGCCAACATTTATTGACAGTTTCTCATGATGAATTGCAATCCTTGGCCTTGCCGCAAAATGATGAAGACAAAATTTCAGAGGTATTAAGTGATGTTTACCCGAATGAGATGCCTTTGATCATTAACAAAAATAGCGATAAAAGAGCATTAACGGCTAAGCAGGAAAGAGATATAAAACCAGTAAATGATGAAAAGGCTGAAAATGAGCCACAGTCTGCAGACATTACTCCACATTCGCCAGAGGTGATTGAAATTCTGGATGTTGATGATGATGCTGAGATTAGTCATACCATTCATATCAACGAAGAAACTTCCAATACAACTAGTAGCAATAACCATAACAGTAATGATAATAATAAGAATGAGAGTAGTAGTATAAGTGAAACAGAAGACAACGGTACTACTAATGGTAAAAATGGTGATGAAAAGGACGAAATGGACGAAATAATTTTCAACAACCCATATACGGAATTTACGAAGCCGCCAATTTTTAATAAGAAACAACAAGATAATTCATCGATTGGCTCGTTTTCTCCAGATACCCCACCTCAAAGGAAGAAGTTTTCATCCCCTAACCTTGGACTAGATGAACAAGATGCCTCTGATGATGAAGCAAATCTGTCATCAATCAGGAGATCTAATGTTTTGGATAGACTTAACAAAATAACATCAGATATCCAAGAGCAGCTAAATCTAAATGATTTTGACTATGAATCTTTTAATAATGATACTGATTTCTTACAGAATCTCAAAAGCTCTACCGACTCGTCTGATCTTAAAGCTTTAAATCAAGCCCCTGAAAAAGATGATGATTATGATTTCGATGATTATGATGATTACGATGATGATTATTATTATCGCAACGAAAGCGAGCCTGATGAGCAGAGAGATTCTGATGGTGTTGGTACAATAACTCCCTTAACAAGCTCCAATTCATTAACTAACGGCATGATCATCCCTGTTAAAAACGATATAACGGATAGAAGAAAATCAAAACCTGTTCATGATATGTTTATTCCAGTACTCGGAAAATTTGATCTGTTAGCTGAAAAATTAGCTAAACTAGATGAATTAATATAAGCATCGATGGCATTTCCTACACAAGCATTGACAGGTGTCTACTTTGCACCTGTTGTCTATTACATTGTAAATCTATGATTTCTTTAATATTAATATATATAATACACTATTCTATTTTATATACGGGTTATGTAGCGCGCGAATTCTCATCCATTAGCCGCATAGATTTTTATTTCGAATTTTTTGAAGAAAAATTATAGAACTGACTTTCGATTTATAGGTTTTATTCAGAGCTGGTTGTATCATATAGGGCTGAATAAGGCTTTATTGCATTTAGAATAACTTCTCGAATATAATTTAGAAAATTTTACGTAGCGGAGGAAGTATTAACATGTCGTGGACAGCTGATCCAGAAGCTTTAGAGCAATTAAAGCATATTTTTAAAGGCACATTATCGTCAAATAACCAAGAAAGAAGTTTAGCAAATGATGCATTAATCCAAGCTAGACAGCAACCTGAGATTGAGAACTATCTATTTGACATCTTAGTTATGGATAATACTGCTAGATCCGACGTGAGAGCAGCAGCAGGTATTAATTTAAAGAACAGTATTTTAAAGAATGATAACCCAAATCACGTTAAGAACCGACAATATCTCTTGGAGAATATATTAAAAGGATTAATGGTTCATGATAACATGGTGAGAAATATCACAGGTAATGTCATCACGTCTTTATTTTCTAATTTTGGAATCGAAGGATGGCCTCAAGCATTACCCCAACTCATTGAATTAGCAAGTCTTAATTCCCCTGATGGCACATATATAGCTCAAGAAGCAGCCATGGGTGCTTTGAGTAAAATATGTGAAGATAGTGCATTATCGTTAGATCGTGAATTCAACGGGGAAAGACCCTTGAACTTTATGATCTCCAACTTTTTGAAGTTATCCACTAACCCCCAAAGCGGTAAAATCAGATCATTGTCGATACATTGTATTAATCAGTTTATTCCATTAAAAACACAATCATTTTTAATCCATTTAGATGAATTTCTACAAAAATTGTTCGAATTAGCTACAGACTCTAATAACGAAGTAAGGAGGAATATCTGTACATCTTTTTCAATGATCTTAGAAACAAGACCTGACAAAATTATGCCTCACCTAGATGGTGTTATTAATTATTGTTTACATTTAATGCAAGATTCTGATGAGGAAGTAGCCCTTGAGGCCTGTGAATTCCTATTAGCATTGTCAACGTCTCCGGAAACTGAATCTGATAAAAACCTTTTCAATCCAAAGTTGAAGATAATATTACCAACCTTATTGGAAAAGATGGTATATTCCCAAGAAGAAATTTTCTATATGGAAATGATCGACGAAAAAGACAATGCTGATATTGCAGACAAAGATGAAGATATCAAACCCCAAACCGCAAAATCCAAAGATTCGCATACTGCGGCCACTAATCATGAGCATAAAAAAGATACCAAACAAGTTGAATTTGATGACGATACTGACTCTGAATTTGAAGATGAAGATGATGAGGATCTGGAAATAGATCAATGGAGTCTAAGAAAATGTTCTGCAGCTACCCTCGATATATTATCTCTCAATTTCCCAGAAGAAGTATTACAGGTTTCCTTACCGATATTACAAGAGCATATTGTTTCTCCAGAATGGCCAGTTCGTGAGGCTTCTATACTTGCGTTTGGTGCTATAAGCAAAAGTTGTATTGAATTATCTAGAGATAAATTACCGACTTTAGTGCCGTTTTTAGTTGACAGATTACAGGATCAAGAACCAAGAGTGAGACAAATAACATGTTGGACCTTATCAAGGTTTTCTACATGGGTTGCTGAAGAAGCACATGAAGGCGGTCAGTATGCAAACTATTTCCAGCCAACTTTCCAGTCTATTGTAACCTGTGCATTAGATAACAAAAAGGTGGTCCAGGAAGCTGCATGTTCCGCATTGTCTTCGTTCATTGAAGAATCGGATGTATCATTGATTGAATTCTATTTGGATCCATTGTTAGACCATTTCGCAAAATGTTTCCAGACTTACCAACGTAAGAACTTGATTATATTATATGATTGTGTCCAAACATTTGTTGAAAAAATGGGGTATGAAAAGTTATCCTCTAAGCCTGACTACATCAATACTTTATTACCTCCATTATTACATAAATGGCAAATTTTGGATGATAATGACACAGCATTATGGCCATTATTAGAATGTATGGCATCCATCGCTGCTACCTTGGGAGAATTATTCGCTCCATATGCTATACCTGTATATGAAAGAGCTATTAAAATATTGTCAAATTGTATTGAATTAGACCAACAGTGCCAGACTGATGCCCTAATTGATGCTCCGGAAAAGGATTTTATGGTGACATCATTAGACTTGATAGATGGTTTAATTCAAGGGTTTGGTCAGCATTCCATCGAGTTGATACAGCAACATGGAACCAATTTGATGGACTTGATTATGATTTGTTTTGAAGATCATACGGATGATGTAAGGCAATCGGCATATGCATTGTTAGGTGACTTGGCCATTTTCACGCTCGATGCTACAGTTAAACCATATTTGCAACCAATATTCATTAGCATTGGAAATGAAATCAATAATAGAACCTTTAATTCTTTCCCTGTATACAATAATGCTATATGGGCATTGGGTGAAATAGCTATGAGGTTGACATATGACGAGATCAAACCATATTTAAGTAATTTAGTTGACTTGGTTATCCCTGTCTTGAATAGTTCTGACACCCAGCAAACAGTGTTGGAAAATGCTGCTATTTGTCTTGGTAGAATGGGTCTCAATGGAGGATCAGAAGTGATCTCACCAAGACTTTCTGAGTTCATACTTCAATGGTGCTCGCAGATGTTATATTTGGTGGATAACAATGAAAAGGAAACCGGCTTTCAGGGTATGCTTAATATAGTCAATGGAAATCCTGATCAAGGATTTGGCGGTTTGTCAAATCAACAGGGTAAAAAGAATTTAGCTATATTTTTTGTATGTATTGGTAATTATTTGGAACCTCCTGAATCATTGAAGAATATGTTTGGTCAGTTGCTAGTTAGTTATAAAAATATGATTGGAAGTGAAATTTGGGAAACTCAAATAATGTGTCATATTGACCAAGAAACAAGGCAATACCTTGGAAGTGTTTACGGAATTTAATCGAGATATTTCAAAAAGTTAATTACATATGCATGAATGTTATCTAGAGTATATATATTTATTGTTTTTTTCTATTGTTTAGATTTTTATTTCTGTCCTTAAGACTTAATCCGTAATTCATTAAACTATGTAAAGCTATAAGCCAAATTATTCATCTTCTTCACAGTATAACACTTCGTTTACCAATGTAACAGGTAAATCCCACACTCCGCTTGGAGACTTCCAAACATACTCTATGGATTTATTAACTCTGGCTATCTCATCAATCTCAGAAGAACCAGCTAAAACTGAATGCTCGTCGACAAAATTTCGTATATCATCTAAGGGTAAAGTTAAAACTTCCGTATTGTATAATGCCAAAGCAATATACACATAGACCATCAACATTAACGTATACGATGGAATGGCCAACGCCCAATATTTATCAGGATAATAGTATATGGACATACTCCTCAATACCAGATCTGGTATAAGGGTCCAACCAACCCATATTGTTAGGAAAGTTGCACTTATGACATAAATGAAAAATCCTTTGTATTCAGCATACGGAGTTATATTTGTAGATACAATAACATCAGAATGCCTTGCGAGTGTATCCTCCAGATTATTACTAGAAGTCTTCGTTGGTGCCAATGACGGAAATATATTCAAGTTTAGAGACGACATGCTCTATCCTGTTCTTGGTAGGCAATCGATTCCCCAATTATCTATTGTAGGTAGAATTTCAATGCGCAAATTCCATTTTGCGAAATAATTTGCATCAACCGTTACTATATGAGCTTAATTATTTGACTATATAATATGATTTAAAGCTTTATGTATCAATCCCCAAATAATATGTTCAAACGGTACATAAGTTGATATTTAGTTATTTAATTTGATATTTAATTCAATGTTTGAGTAAATATAGGGTCATTCCACAGTTATTCCTACATGATTACAGGTAAGCCTAGGACTTACATTCTTTGAATTATCAGAAACTGTATTAACTAAGAAACTAATGAATGGTATCAGTATGAATAAGTTTCTTGGTTTAATAATATTTTACGAAGATTGTCAAGGCATGAAGACCAATATAATATTTTTGTTCACACCTTTTTCTCATTATGAAGAATATTTCAAAAATTTCCAAAACTGCAAGAAATTTCTTAAAGGTACTCAAGAGGATTTGGATCCATATTAATTGGCTTTGTATTCAACAAATCACGAAATAAAATATCTTGCATAACATTCGTATACTGCCTCATGGTGATATTCTTCCTAGTAGTATTTGCAGCTAGTAACTGGTAAACAAGTGACACAAAATGATGTCAAACGAAAATCATCGATGATTGACGGGTAACGGAAAAATAATAAAATTATAAACCGGGTAACTCCAGCTGATCTTACAACGCGGTTAACTCTGACTCATTACCTGTTTCGGCCATCAATTTTTTCATAAGAATATAATCCTAATCCAATATATACTTCTTCTTCGAAATAATTTAGTTATTAACTCTATTTGTCAGTAAGAGTGTAATTAATTGTATAGCATTCCACATAATGATTACCATCAGATCATTAATCACACGGAATGTGAAGTCTAGTACTTTAACTAGGCTCAATCGTTCTAAATTATTATCATACCAAAATATCAAAAAATTTTCAAGTTTGAATGTTCCATTAAAAAACCAGCAACCAACATATGCTGGAGCACAATTATTGAAACAATTTACAGACGAAAATGCTCAAAAGCTAGTCGATGTGTCTAAGGTGTTGGTTATCGGCTCTGGTGGTTTATCTATCGGACAGGCTGGTGAATTCGATTACTCTGGGTCTCAAGCAATTAAAGCATTGAAGGAAGCAAATAAGAAGTCGATTTTGATTAATCCTAATATTGCAACTAATCAAACTTCTCACTCTTTAGCTGACGAAATATATTACTTACCTGTTACTGCAGAATACATTACTTATATTATAGAAAGGGAAAAACCTGATGGTATTCTCTTGACTTTTGGTGGTCAAACTGCGTTAAATGTTGGTGTTAAATTGGAAAAGATGGGTGTTTTCGAAAGATATGGAGTTAAGGTTTTGGGTACTCCTATTAAGACTTTGGAAACTTCTGAGGATCGTGATTTATTTTCCCAAGCATTGAAAGAGATCGACATTCCAATAGCAGAATCAATCGCTGTCGAAACTGTTGACGATGCTTTAGCGGCTGCTGAGAATGTTGGATATCCAATCATTGTTAGATCTGCTTATTCTTTGGGTGGTCTTGGTTCTGGGTTCGCTGCGAATGAACAAGAGTTAAGAAACTTAGCCTCGCAATCTTTGTCTTTAGCGCCACAAATTTTAGTCGAAAAGTCATTAAAGGGATGGAAGGAAGTTGAATACGAAGTCGTTCGTGATCGTGTTGGTAACTGTATTACTGTCTGTAATATGGAAAATTTTGATCCATTAGGTATTCATACTGGTGACTCCATTGTTGTTGCCCCATCTCAAACTTTATCTGATGAAGAGTACCATATGTTAAGAACTGCTGCTATTAAGATTATTAGACATTTGGGTGTCGTTGGTGAATGTAATGTCCAATATTCATTGCAACCAGATGGGTTAGATTACAGAGTTATTGAAGTTAACGCTCGTTTGTCTCGTTCTTCGGCATTGGCCTCTAAAGCTACTGGATATCCATTAGCTTACACTGCAGCCAAGATTGCTTTAGGTCACACTTTACCAGAATTGCCAAACCCAGTCACCAAGACTACATCGGCTAATTTCGAACCTTCATTGGATTATATGGTAACAAAGATTCCTAGATGGGATTTAGCTAAATTTCAACATGTTAAGAGAGACATTGGTTCTGCTATGAAATCTGTTGGTGAAGTTATGGCAATTGGTCGTAACTTTGAAGAGTCGTTCCAAAAGGCTATTAGACAAGTTGACCCATCTTACGTTGGTTTCCAAGGTGATAAATTTGATGATTTAGATGATGCATTAGCCAATCCTACTGATAGAAGATGGTTAGCAGTCGGACAAGCTTTACTTCATGAAAACTATTCAGTTGATCAAGTTCATGAATTGACCAAGATTGATAAATGGTTCTTGTACAAATTAATGAACATTGTCAATATGTATAGAGAATTAGAAAGTGCTGGAAGCTTATCCAATATCAATATTGACTTAATGAGTCGTGCTAAGAAATTAGGTTTTTCAGATAAGCAAATTGGTTTATGTGTTTCTGCGAAGGAATTAGAAGTTAGAGATGCTAGAAAACAATTCGGTATCACACCATTTGTTAAGAAGATTGACACCTTGGCAGCAGAATTCCCAGCTAATACCAACTATTTGTACACAACTTATAATGCCACTTCCTCTGACTTAGAATTCAACGATAAGGGTACTATGGTTTTAGGATCTGGTGTTTACCGTATTGGTTCCTCAGTTGAATTCGACTGGTGTGCTGTCTCTACTGCCCGTGCATTGAGAGAATCCGGTCACAAGACTATCATGATTAACTATAATCCAGAGACAGTTTCTACCGATTTCGATGAAGTTGATAGATTATACTTTGAAGAATTATCATTGGAAAGAGTCCTTGATATTTATGAATTAGAAAATGCTCAAGGTGTTGTCGTAAGTGTTGGTGGTCAATTACCTCAAAATATTGCCTTGACTTTACAAAATTCAGGCTGTAATGTTTTAGGTACTAATCCTGAAGATATCGACAAGGCTGAAGATCGTCACAAATTTTCACAAATTTTAGATTCCATTGGAGTTGATCAACCAAAGTGGAAAGAATTAACTTCTATTGAAGAGGCGGAAAAGTTCGCTAACGATGTTGGATTCCCTGTTTTAGTTCGTCCATCCTACGTTTTAAGTGGTGCCGCCATGTCAGTCATCAACAGTGAGTCTGAATTGGTTGAAAAATTAGGTAACGCTTCAAAGGTTTCCCAGGATTACCCAGTTGTTATTTCTCAATTTATCCAGGGAGCTCAAGAAATCGATATTGATGGGGTTGCAAGCGAAGGAGAAGTTTTAGTACATGCTGTTTCTGAACACGTTGAAAATGCTGGTGTTCACTCCGGTGATGCTACATTGGTGTTACCACCCCAAAACTTATCTCCAGTAATCATGAATAGATTGAAGGAGATTGCTGACAAGGTTGCCAAAGCTTGGAAGATTACCGGTCCATTTAACATGCAAATCATCAAGAATGACCACAATGGCTCTTTAAGCGACAATGAATGTGATTTGAAGGTTATCGAGTGTAATATTCGTGCTTCACGTTCATTCCCATTTGTTTCCAAGGTATTGGGTATTAACTTCATCGACGTAGCTACCAAGGCATTAATCAAGGAGAACGTTCCTCAACCAACCAACTTAATGGACAAGGAATACAATCATGTTGCTACTAAAGTACCTCAATTTTCATTCACCAGATTAGCAGGTGCCGATCCATTCCTTGGTGTCGAAATGTCTTCTACTGGTGAAATTGCATGTTTTGGTGACGACTTGATCGAAGCGTACTGGACTTCAATTCAATCTACCATGAACTTCACCGTCCCTCAACCCGGCACAGGCGTGTTGTTTGGCGGTGATTTGACCAACGACAAGCTCGGAAATGTTGCAGCTACGATATCTGGTCTCGGCTACAAGTTCTTCACTGCGTCTGATGCAGTTGCAAAATACTTAAAGGCGTATGTTAGTGAAGACATTGAAGTCATCGAATTTCCTAAAACAGACAAGAGAGCGTTGAGAGAAATTTTTCAAAAACACAAGGTTTCCGCGGTATTCAATTTGGCCAAGGCCAGAGCTGAAGACTTATTAGACGAAGACTACGTCATGAGAAGAAATGCAATTGACTTTGGTATCGCTTTGTTCAACGAACCAAATACTTCTGCGTTATTTGCGCAATGTTTGAAGGCTAAAATCGCTACCAAGTCACTGTTCGAAGAGATACCTTCTGAGGTCGTCGTTCCACACGAAGTCAGAAGATGGAGTGAATTTATCGGCGGGAAGCCAGTGTAAACAATAGACATAGTTCTTACATTTTTATCTGACTTTTCTGACGCATGTACAGTCTTGCTAGAGTCCCGTACTAATAATAATATTTAATTTTGATATTCATCCAAATGTAGTAATCGTCAAGATTTTTGAGAATTGTAAGCCTCTAAGTTTCTCTCTCTTTGCATATTCGGATATAGGAATATGCACGATGTCATACTTGGAATAAGGCAAAACCAACTTAGAAGTGCAATTACGGGCCGTTATTGTTCTTGTGTTGTTCTAATTAGCTCGTGAGAAATTTTTTTCACCTGTTACGAGCACAACGGTAATTATGCTCTATGCGAATGCATTCTTGCTTCTGAGAATTTAACTATATGGGGAAAGAAGTACAAAAAGATACATAGCAAGAGTGAAAAATAAACTTTATCCAATTATCAGATGATATCAGATGATATCTACCGCCCTTTAAACGGTAATTGAGGCAATACATGACTGCACATTTTAATACTAAACTATTAAATGACTTTTTTGTACGATGCGCATTGGGCAGTTTATGTGCCAAGCAATGCATGCTATATGGAATTAAGAGAAATGATTTTTCAAGAGTCTTAATCTTATGGCTTATCTCGATGATCTAAGAAATAAAAATCGTAAACATTTTGCTTAGGCTGGAATTTGTATTAAAGAGCAAGAATTCGCTAGTTATTTTTCAATTTTTTTTATCTTTTCCATCAACGGCTTGAAGAGATGAGTTACAGTGAAACTAGTTCCTTCAGAGATACTGCAGCTGCTACCGCCAGTGAAGAATTTGACAAGAGCAGTAAGCTTCGGGAACATGATGGTAGTGAAGAGGCTCCACAAGGTTACAATGAACAGTCTATTCCAATGGTGGTCAAGTCCACTTCCAAGTCTTTCGGTGTGAGAAGAACTGAAATTTTGGTTGAGCAATTCACTCATCCAGCCTTCAGAATTTTTTTTCTTTTTACTATATTTCTCTGTGCTTATGCTTATTCTTTAGATGGTACCGTTAGAAATGTTTACCAAACATATGCTACTAATTCTTATGGTCAGCATTCTTTATTAGCTACGGTTAATGTTATCAAAGGTGTTATTGGTGCTGCAGCACAACCAACTTATGCGAGATTATCTGATATTTTCGGTAGACTTGAATTATTTATTTTCGCTGTTATTCTTTATGCCATGGGTACCGTCATTGAATCGCAGGCTTATGATGTCTATAGATTTGCTGGTGGTACTGTGTTATATCAAGCTGGTTACTCTGGTGTTATGTTGATTTTGCAAGTTATCTTGGCTGATTTCTCCAATTTAAATTGGAGATTGTTTTGCTCTCTTGTTCCTGCCATGCCGTTTATTATTAATACATGGATTTCTGGTGATGTGACACAAGCCTCTTTGGATTCCTATTCTTGGAACTTTTGTATTGGTATGTGGGCATTTATTTTCCCATTGGCTTGTATTCCATTTGTTGGTTGCTTGGTTGCTATGCAATGGAAGGGTAGCAAAACTGATGAATGGAAGCAAATTAGGGCTGAAGAAAAAGAAGTTCTTAAATGGAGATCTTGGAAGGATAATATGTTCGTGGATTTATTCTGGAGAATTGATGTTATTGGAGTCCTTCTTATTATAATCATTCTTGGATTTATTTTGGTACCATTAACTTTGGGAGGAGGTATCACTGATAAGTGGCATGAAGCTTACGTTATAGCTCCTTTGGTGATTGGTTTTGTATTGATCGGACCTTTCATTATATGGGAGTATAAATTTTCAAAGTTCCCCGTTTTCCCTTTTGCACTTATGAAAGACCGTGGTGTTTGGTCAGCATTAGTAATTGCTATTTTGATTGACTTTGTTTGGTATATGCCAAATGATTATATGTACACAGTTCTTACGGCCGGTATGAGAGCAAGTATCAAAGCCGCCACTAGAATAACTTCATTATATTCGTTTGTATCAACTATTACTGGTGTTCTCTTTGGTCTCTTAGTTGTTCCTTGGGTTAGAAGATTAAAGCCGTTTATTATGTTCAGTGGATTCTGCTGGATGGCTTCATTAGCTATTCTTTATGCTTATAGAGGTGGAAGTGATGGTGTTGAATCTGAGAAATACCTTAATGGTGTTATTGGGGGTTTATGTTTGATGGGTTTCGGTGCTGGATTATTTACTTATCCGACTCAAGTTTCAATCGAAACCTGTACTAATCATGAACATATGGCAATTGTTATTTCATTATACTTATCCTTCTACAATATTGGTTTAAGTATTGGTTCGTGTGTTAGTGGAGCCGTATGGACTAACACTGCATTCAAATATCTTACGGATAAATTTCAAGAAGCTGGGCTTGACTCTTCTTATGCTGAACTGGCATACTCAGAACCGTTGGATTTTGTTGCACAATTTGCATGGGGTTCTCCAGAAAGAATTGCAGTTGCTTTAGCATATGCACAAACTCAAAGACTTTTGTGTATTATTGGTTTATGTTTGACTTTCATCTTGATCGCATTTTCATTCTTTTTAAGAGACCACAAGTTAGAAAGTGTTCAATCATTAGAGTTAGCTCACGAAGAAGGAATTAAGGCGGAAGATGGGGAGGTTGTTGTCAACGATTACGATAAAGACCTTACCTTTACGAAACTTAAGTCTTTATTCAGACGCAAAGAGAAGAACAATGCTATCTGATTACATATCTATAATCTACATACCGTCATTTCATTCAATTTTCATATTACGGAGTTTACCTATTTAATTTACTAATCTCATATTATTATACCTTATAATTCATAAACGTAGTTCACTTCGCTATGTAATTCTCATGATCATATCCCATGGATTTAAATTATAAGCCCAAAAAATAAAACTATAGAATAAATAGTCCTTGCAACAAGTCATCATCCTCTTTTTCCAAGGCTTGCACGTCACTTTGTTCAATTGACTCAAAGATATTCTGAATATATATTCTCTACTGGCTTGCCAGGATATTAGCAGACTTCTTCTGGGCTTCCATAACGTCATCCAAGCACAACAAGCTTTTCAAAAATGACCCTTCAAGTTTCAGTTGGTTAGATTATTTCCCGGGTGCTTGACTACTTGACTACTCAATGATTTTTCCCGAGCGTTGGGCATTGGGTAACTTTTGTGCCAAGCAATGGATGTTTTAGAATTTTTAATAACCTTGTTCTTGGGACTTATCTTAATAATCTCTGAAGTAATATAATTCTTTTCGCTTAGGAGTTAGTATTAGGGAGCAAGAACTCGGTATGCGATATTTTTTATCTATTCCATCTACGAAACAAGGAAAATGACTAAAAGTAAAACTAGTTCCTTCAGAGATACCACAGCTGCTACAGCCAACGCAGAATTTGACCGAACTAATAAGCTCAAGGTTCACAGTGGCAATGAAGATGCTCCACCAGAATACAACGAACAATCAATCCCAATGGTGGTCAAGTCCACCTCCAAGTCTTTCGGCGTAAGAAGAACGGAAATTTTAGTTGCACAATTCACTCATCCAGCGTTCAGAATTTTCTTTCTCTTCACTGTGTTTATTTGTGCTTATGCTTATTCTTTAGATGGTACAGTCAGAATTACCTATCAATCATATGCTACTAGTTCTTATGATCAACATTCATTATTAGCTGCCGTTAATGTTATTAAGAGTGTTGTTAGTGCTGCTTCCCAACCAACGTATGCTAGATTATCTGATATTTTCGGAAGGCTTGAATTATTCATATTTTCAATTATTCTTTATGCTCTGGGTACGCTCATTATATCTCAAGCTTACGATATCTACAGGTTTGCCGGTGGATCTGTTTTGTACCAAGCTGGTTACTCTGGTGTTATGTTGATCTTGCAGGTCATTTTAGCCGATTACTCCAACTTGAACTGGAGGTTGTTATGCTCACTTATACCAACTACGCCATTTATTCTTAACACATGGATTGCAGGTAATGTTGCAGAATCAGCTTTAGCTACTTTCTCATGGAACTTTTGTATTGGCATGTGGGCATTCATTTTCCCATTGGCGTGTATTCCATTCGTTGGCTGTTTAATTGCGATGCAAGTGAAGGCTCGCAAGACTCCTGAATGGCGCCAAATTAGAGCTGAAGAGAAGGAAACTACTAAATGGAGGTCATGGAATAATAATATTTTTGTTAAGTTATTCTTCGAGATTGATGTTATTGGTATTCTTTTCATTATTTCTATATTCGGGTTTATTTTGGTGCCTATGACTATTGCAGGGGGTAAAACTGAAGAAGGTGCAATTAGACAAGCCTGGAAGACATCAGAAATTATTTTGCCATTAGTTATTGGATTTCTTTTGATATTTCCCTTCATATTATGGGAATATAAGTTTTCCAAACATCCTGTTGTCCCATTCCCACTTATGAAGGACCGTGGTGTTTGGTCAGCATTAGTTATTGCTATCATGCTTAACTTTGTATGGTACATGCCAAACGATTTTATGTACACGGTTCTTGCAGTTGGTATGAGAGCAAGCATTAAAGCTGCTACCAGAATAGCTTCGTTGTATTCGTTTGTAGCGACTATTGTTGGACTTTTGTTTGGACTTTTAATAGTGCCTTGGGCTAGAAGGTTAAAACCATTCATTATTTTCGGTGGATGTTGTTGGATTGGTTCAATGGCTATTCTTTATTCGTATAGAGGTTCAAATGACGGTGTTGAATCTGAGAAGTATCTTAATGGGGTTATTGGAGGCTTATGTCTCATGGGTTTTGGTGCTGGGTTATTCACATATCCAACTCAGGTTTCTATTCAAACATGTACTAATCATGAACATATGGCCATTGTTATCTCTTTGTATTTGGCATTCTTCAACATTGGAATAGCATTTGGAAGTTCAGTTAGTGGTGCTGTTTGGACTAATACTATGTACCAACATCTTTTGGATAAGTTTGAAGAAGCTGGTCTTGATACTACTGTAGCCGCATTTGCTTATGGAAAACCATTTGAATTTATCGAGAGTTATAAATGGGGCACATCAGAACGAATTGCAGTTGTTTTAGCATATGCAAAAACTCAGAGACTCTTATGTATAATTGGTTTAGGTTTAAGTGTTGTTTTATTCATTTCATCGTTCTTGTTGAGAGACCATAAATTAGAAAGCGTTCAATCATTAGGGTTAGATCGCGAAGAGGGAGTAGTAGCTGAAGACGGCGAGGTCGTTGTGAACAATCATGATCAAGACCTAGTTCTTTCGAAGCTTAAGTCTTTATTCAGATGCAAAGAGAAGAGAATTACTATCTGATTACTTTGCATGCGTTCTACAAGTACTAATTTAATTTACTTTTCATATTAGGGAGTTTCCTATTTAATTTATTAATCTTATATTATTATACCATACAAGTCATTAATGTAGTTCACTTTTAAATGTAATTCTCATAATCATTTCCTAACGATTTAAATTATGAGACCAAAAGCATAACTGTAGAAATAAATCATCCTTACATCAAAGTGCAAAAATATGAACGAGAATCCTTACAACAAGTCATCATCTTCCTTTTCCACAACAGAATTCTTTACTTTCAATAATAATTGAGTCTTCAATTTGTCTAATTTACTAAATTGGTCAAAGTCAAATACCTTATCCGAGAAGGCTTGCACGTCACCTTGTTCAATTGATTCAAAGATATCCTGAACAAGCTTATATTCTCTAGTAGCCTCCCAAGATGGTTCTTCAGAAAGATAGTTCGCAGACTTCTTCTGGGCTTCAATAACGTCATCCAAGCACAACACACATAATAAGCTTTTCAAAAAATAATCTTTCAAGTTCCATTTGGTAAGATTATTGCCTAACAGGTTCTTAATAATTATGTCGTAAAGCTCAATCGCCTTTTCATACTTACCTGCCAAAGCACTCAAGTCAGCACATTTCAAGTACGCTTTGTTCGATAAGGCCTCAGCATGGTCTGTAGTAAAATAGTCTCCTGCTTGCTCATAGCTTTTAATGGCATTATCTGTGTCACTGCTTGATTCGTATAATTCTGCCAAGTCCATGGTAAAATTGGCTGCTCTCCTAAACTGCCCATTCTGGGTCAAAAAGATGTGGATAGCCTTTGATAATGCATCAATAGCATCGGTGGGAGAAACCCCTTTGTAACACTTATAAGCTTCAATTAAATGATTAGCGACATCATTGTGATTAGACAATTCTTTTTGGATATCGGCCGCCTTAACGAATTGATTTCCAGCTTGGTTGAAGTCTTTATTTAATCTATATTGATTTGCCGCTTGAATATAGAGATCAGTTGCCTCCTCCAATCTGAATGAATTTGAAGACCCAGACAAAAACAGCATAAATCCTGTTTTTGGCTTAGCTAACTTTTCTGCCTCTGCTATCAATGAACGTGGATCTGACATATCTATACTAATTCCTGTTCCCTTAACTAGTATATAGGTGTTCGTATTGCCTTGTAAACGTATGGATTTAATATTAAGCGGTTTGTGTAATATATGGAATCATGTGATATCTCTTAGTTAAAGAATCAAAAGCCTTTGTTTACATTAGTCCTATAGGTTTTGACAAGAAGAATGATATAAAAAAGATGTCTTCTGAAATAGATAGGATACGTTACGAGAGGTTGAAGTTAGTGTGCAAGAAAGCGCTAGAACAATCGATAAAAAAATCCCTTTCTATTGACCAGATTAAAACATGCTATCCAACAATCGCCAGTACAGAAGAAGGGCAGAAATCATTAGAAATTGCAAGATCACAAATTATCAAGTTTTGGCATAATAATTCGACCAAAGAATTCGATCTAATTTTCAAGGAGCGTAATATAGAAACCAAATTGAACGAGCTAGATGAAATAATACAGAGGGCACAAGAAAGAAAACTCGAGGGTAACGAAGCGCCAGTTCAGGTTGATAGGCTTTCTCCTTCGGATTTGATAGAATCATCACTATCAGGAACCAAGAAAGAAACTATAGAGAGTTTGACCATGATATATAACCAGTTGTGTCTTGATAATATGGAATTATACGGCCAGTTGAATTCATTGTGCGAAGAGAGCGAAACAATCAAGTCAGATTTGAAGAGTCTGGCTGATTTATTAAGTGAGGATCTTAAGAGTCTCAAGGATGATGATTTAAGGATTAGAGTCGATGACCTTATAGCCACCATAGGAGAATAATGGCGTGTTGTAGAGTACCAGAATACCCATTATTGTAATTATATAAATGTAACCTTAGTGTATAATAGAGAATAATATCGTTTTATTGAAAACTTATTTGTATGTACAAGTATGTAAGATTATTAACGTTTAGATTCTGAAATACGTTGAATTTCTTCATAATTTCTTTTGGCCAATTGATTGTATCCAACAACCCTCTTTTGCAATTCAACAATTTGGGCTTCCTTCTTCTTTTGTTTATCGGATAACTTGATCAATTGCTTGTCACCCCAGACCTTGTAATCTTGTAAGTATTGTCTACCCATATTAAATTCCCTGGTAATAACATCATCAGTCAAACCCAACTTGGCAATAGTATAATAGTATTGTTCAGCATTATCTTTCTTCAAGTATTTCAATATCTTTTGTCTTTGTTGGACCATGTAACGGACGTGCTGAATGTGCTCTTTGTCCTTGAAGAATTGCTTAACATGGTCCATTCCTAAGTGAATTCTCACAGATAATACGGCAGCTTGAACCTCTGGAGAACCGGTGTCACCTTCCTCTCTCTGGAATTCTTCGCGGGCGTATTGAATAGCTGCCTTCTTTCTGTCTTGTGAGTTGGTATTTTTAATATTGAGAATAGTCAACAAGGCCCTCTTTTTTCTCTCTTCGGATGCACTTATAGAATCATGCAAAATATTACTTCCACTGTTTCTGTCTATATTGGCCTTCTCAGCACCGTACAATAACTTCTCGAATTCATCTCTTTGATAACCATACGCTAAGTTTGTTGGTTCCTGTAATTCGGCCCTCACTCTTTTTATAAATGCATTGTTTTCATCCCCTAAAACAGGATCAACTTGAAACCTCACGTTTTCTAATGAATGCTTCTTGACATTATTGACATCTCTGACGATTTGCCTCTTGAGTCTGGCCTCTCTTCTTCTGAGAGATTTCACCTTGGATCTGGTAGCTTGATCTGGAATGAATTGTTTAGCCGCAAGTATAGGTTGGATTTTTTGTGGAACAGCATTAAGTATTGGTCTCCCCGTAGAGAACAAACGACAACCTATTTGAAACATATTACTATCGTTCGTTTACGATGATTTAATTATCTCTAATACCTTTGTATCGAGCTTTGAAAATTTCGAGTCGAAATTTTTTATATAATTGGGCCCGTGCACGACAAGCTCAAAATGCATCTATAATAAATACTAGACTTATATTTGCAATGGGTTATATATTAAGCTTGAACAGATAGACATGGATATATATACTGGAATCAAGGTTAATGATTCTTTGATATCGCTTCTGAAAAAATGGTATCCTAATTCTCCCAAGAAATTCAGTCCTAAGTTAGTTAATGAGGTGCATCAGATCGTTATTAATGCAAACTCTAGAGATTTGTACGAAATTTTGCTTAATTCGTCCTATTTTAATAATGTACTATGGGCGTTCTTTCACCAGGACATTACGTTGAACCATATTGAGCTTTTGTTATGCACGGTTTTATATGATATTGAGAAAGGGTATAGTAAATTGATGGACATGGTTCTTGCTGATGGTGAAGCATTTCAAGCTTTGTTTGAAAGATTACTTAATATTACAATAGCTCCTAGTCAATTGACGAATTTACGACTTCAGAAGAATATTTTGCTTTTCATTAACCAGTTGGTAACCTTTAAATTATCACACCCTCTTGTTAAGAAGACTTGCAACGGGTTGTTTGGTATTAATACTTGGTCTAATTTGCATAATTATCAAACTATGCTTGATAAAAACAATCTAAAGGAGGAATTTAATCGAAAACTGGCGATAATTCAGGGTTGCGATGATAATTCTGCAAAATCTTATTTAATATTGAAGCAAAGATGGGCTTTCACAGTCCTAACAAACTATATGTCATCAGTAATAACAGGAGAAATGATAAAAAATTTGGAATTTATCGAGTACCTGGATAGTTTGATTCAAATTCTTATTTCTTGCGTGAGCCAGCTACCAATACGAAATTACTTCAATTCCTTATTGAAAGGTATGCAATTTATTTCATGCTTTCATGTAATCGATGATAAGAATAAGAGGTTATTGGAATTCGTTAAAGTTTTAAAGCATTTCATGTATTATCCTATTAATGATTTCACAGGGGAAGAATACCTCGAAGGAACCAAATACCAAGAGAATTTTTACAACCTACAAAAGATTATATTTGAGAAGTTCAGCGGTTCATCGCAAGAAAAAATAAACAAGTTCGTTTTGGTCCCATCAGTTTATAATTATTCGCATGAGAAGTTAAAGGAATTTCTTTCCAATTTTGCACTCGATGATTTAGTTGCCATAGCTGACAAACTCGAAATCATAAATCACATCTCAAATGACTTCAGGAATAATGGATTCATAACTAGTGCAATTGCAAATGAAGTATTTACGCCTGAATATAATGTCAAAGGTCTAAGTCAACTTGTAAACAACTACACCGAAGTGGATATAATTGATGATTTTAATGATATATACAATAATGAAAAATTATTTCAACTAACTCCTTTGCCGCAAATTTATAATACACAATACTTATGTTTGGCAGACTACGTTATTAGGGAAGTTGTCAATTTAACAACAGATATAAAGAGATTAGCTAACAATCACATTAACCAGGTTTTAGAACGTTTAAAGTTATCGGTAGATCCACAGAGTAACTTAAAGATAAAAGGAACCAGTAAATATTTTTCAAAGATTGAGTCGTTAAATGTTTTTGATAAATCAATTGCCGAGTTAATTATTTCAACTAACAAGGACTGGCAAGATAATATAGATGATTATATCTTATTGATACAGTTGATCAAGCCAAATAAATACTCATCATGTCAGAGAATGGTCAAGTATGGTTTAAATATGGTACGGTTTAAGAAAGTTTTAGAGATTGGTGACAAAGGTAAACAAAGAAGTCTAGTTATCGACTGGAACGAGGACCTTGAGTTAAGTGATCGCTTCAATTATATTATACGATTACCTGCCGAAAAAAGTTCTCTTGATAAACTATGTGTCATCGCTAATGATATTGATGTCACTGATATTAGATTGCCTGAATATTTTACTGATTTATTCTTGGGAATAGATAAATCAACAGCAGCGCATTTTAAATCCCAACGGGATAGACCATATAAATTGAAACTAGATTGTACGAATGCTAACCAATTGAAATATGATCTTGAAATCGAGAGTAATAATAAGCGACGTAAAGGTAATAACAATCAAGCTTGTGTCGATCCACCATATTTGTTAAAATTTAATGAGCATGACGACAAGTTAACGGTAGAATCAATCATTGGTCAGCAGTCAATTTATAAACTAAATGAGGAGCAAGCTCAGTGTATAATACCGAGCGTTAGTACTGGCGTAAGTGTCATAGACGCCCCCAAAAATTCTGATGGTGACCTTTTGCAGGCAATAATTTATAATTTACAGTTGAATTTTCCCAAGGAAAGAACATTGATTCTTTGTCCCAATAGTATATATTTGGGCCAATTTGAATTTGAATTAACAACGTCTCTTAAGGTTTATGGAGATACAATTAAATATAATGAGAAGATAAACGAACTATTTGATTCTATAAAAATAAAATTAGAGCAAGCGGAAATATTAGCAGAGTATGTTGGTCTTAAGGATATGGGGTTTGGCCAAACCTGCGATAATGCTTTATTGTTATTCTCAAAGATTAAGCAAGAATGGGACAGTTTTTTACGTTCTTTGAAGAAAGATAGACTGCAAATTACAAATTACCCTTTCAAAGCATACTCTAAGATACTGTTAGGAGATACATTCGAAAGCGATTTGCAAAAAATAGTTGGTTCGTACAGGGAAATCGCACAAGTATTCCAGGATATCCAAGATCTAGCGCCTCTCGTAAAGCTTCAGAATAAGAAAGGCGAGCTTATAAAATTTCTCATCCACAAGTATTGTCAATATATACTTGCCACACCAGAGACATTGATAAGTCAAAAGGTTTACCAGACGAAATTTGATAGCATTGTTTGCATAGGAGAAGACATCTCCCAGTTCAATTGGTTGCTACCAATGATCAACAATGCCTATTTGAGAAGAATTGTCGTATTGGGAGATTTTTCACGTAGTAATAAATCTAGATGGAGATATTTGAGTGTCCCACCACTCAAGTTGCGGAAGGTGTCCGTAAGAGAGGAGTTTCTACAATATTACAACGACCAATATAATAATGAGTTGGTTAGCACATATACTGGTGCAGCTGCTAACGGAGGATTCAAAGAGACTCATCAAATTATTCCTGTGGATATGGAGCCAAATGAGTCAGTGAGTGTGAACGAAGCCGAGTACTCGGTCGCATTATACCAATATATGAGATTACTAGGGTATCCGGCGCACAAAATCTCTATTATCGCCATGACGGCCTACCAAAAGGTTCTCATAGAGGAGATCTTAAGTATCAAATGTGGCCACTCAGAATCAAGCGATTCATCACGTTTTAAGTTTGGGTGGCCCACTGTTGGAACTGACGACTGTTGCAACGCCAATGCCTACTTAATTGTATCAGCGTTTGGCTGCAAATATCCTAAATTGAAATGTTTAGCTAGCGCTACCAGCGGTCTCTATATCGTCGGGAACTATACCCAACATTCGTTCCCCAAGCATAATCTCACCGTGGTCAACGGTGAAATGTACAACAAGTTGATCAAGAGAGATTCAAAACACCTATACGAAATAGTAGGCTATGACCACTTGAGACAGTACGTCGATCAGATGACTACCATGAGAATGAGTGCAGCAAAATAGCATATCTATGTACCATTAGTATGTAATTTTAATAAAGAATATAAACACATATGCAGATAAAGCTAGCTGCAGCTTATACGTTTCAATACACTTCGTAACCTTAATCTATATGCAAAGTCAATTCTACCTCATTGGAATTTTTTTGAATTTCATCGAGAACTCGTAGAAAAGGTGCGTTCGAACTAACCCATATTTTAATAGGCAACCTAATCCTT